TTCTCTCTCTCTCCTTCGGGCAAAGATTCCATCTTCATGACATCCTTCCTCAATCCTGAGAACACTATTTCAGAGTCTATATTTCTCCTCTTGTCTGCTGGTCACATTTCCTGGTCTACCTATGTAGGATCTGAAATAATCCTGGAACAATTTGAACTCACCATTTCTCCTACAACATTGTCTCTTACGCCTAAGCCACCTGTGCCTCTCAATAACATAAGAAGAATTTGTTACAATTCACATGTGAACTGCCGATGGATGACTGCAGTTGTCTGTAACTTACTTTTAAATGCATCAAAAAATAATGTTTGGCCCTAACTGGTTTGGCTCAGTGGATAGAGCATCGGCCTGGGGACTGAAGGGTCCCAGGTTCGATTCCAGTCAAGGGCATGTACCTTGGTTGCGGGCACACCCGCAGTAGGGGGTGTGCAGGAGGCAGCTGATCGATGTTTCTCTCTCATCGATTTTTCTAACTCTCTATCTCTCTCCCTTCCTCTCCCTAAAAAATCAATAAAAATATATTTTAAAAAATAATGTTTGATTACAGCAGAGAGGGATGGGGAGATATATGATTAAGCAAACATAATTATAAAATGTTAATTTTTAATCAGTATATATGAGTTTATTGTACATCTCTTTCAACTTTTCTGTTTCAGTTTTTTATAATTAAATATTGGAGAAATATGTGATGCTTATTAAAATCATTGCAGCAATGTGGAAATCATAGAGGAAAAAGCACATGTGGAACACTCACTAAAGATAACATTTTGGCAAATACGCTTTCAGACTAGATAGATAGATACGAATGGATAAGTACTTAATGACTACAATAAAATATCAAATGCTCTCTTGTTATATGCATTTTGCATTCATGTGATCATAGGACTCTTTATTTTCATGGGATCATGGGGCTCTTTATTCATGTGATCATGGAACTCTTCATTTTCAAAGTATAGATACACCTAAATTGCAATATCTATTTAGGTTTTCATCATGTGAAATGTGCCTAAACTCTTGGCACCACAAGGACCAGTAGAATGTACTAGTATGTTCTGATTAATACCAAATTCTTTTCACTTTGAATAGAACCTCACACACAAGCAACAAATTAATATTTGTTGAATGAATGAATGATTTAATACTTAATAAAAATAAGTTCCTCAGTGTTAATCTTTTTACTTCTATGTAAGCCTCCTGTATCCCTTACAATATTTTTGTTGTTGCTCATGATTTTATTCAGTATGATTCCAGGGTGTTTTAATCTGAAATACTCTCCTTTTACCTTCAAAGAGAAGCATTAAATAATGTTATGTATTATGTATATTGATGGAACTTTATTCCTTAGTTTTGCATGACTTTCCTCAAAAGTTTGAGAGCCATGCTCACAAAATGTGTAGATTATTTATTCCTTAACATCTTTTTATCTGTTTCTTCCTCTCCATCCCACTGCCTTTCTCTCTGTTTAGATACGACATCCATCCCAGAAACACTGCCATATCCTCCTGGTGGGCAGTTGGGGTCATGTTGCCTGTTGTCAGCATATTTTCCGTTGAGTCGCTTCCCTCGCGCTCCTCTTGGATGAAAAGCCCCTGCATGGAGCTCTGCAGGACCTACTCCAATCGCCAGTGCGGCTCTAACTGTGGCCATGAAATGCCATCAGACAGAGAATTCTAAATCGGGTCCTAGTAAACTGAGCTTTTGCTGACAGATTATAACTTGGGTATAACCGGTACAGGTCCTACCCACAGCTGATTTTGATAACATCCCTGGAGAGCCAGGGTGCTCCATCAGTAGTCAGGAGGGCCCATTGGAAGTGAAGGTCAAATCCCCAGGACTTCCCAGGCACCATTTCTCTATGTCCTCTAGTCTCAGTTCCCCAAACACTGAACAGCCCACTTACCTTTTCAAAGGCTGGGAAATAACGATTTGTTGTTCTCTCTCTGATCTGGGTCATCTTGGCATCTTGTTCATCAGGTGGGAATAGTGGGAAACGCAGGATCATTTCATACAAATCTGCAATACCTTCTGAATACATATCAATCCTGAAAGACAAAAATGACCCAATTGTCAACTGTCACCTGTCTTACATGTTATAGTTTAAAAATCTAAGAGAATGGGTTATTGGGAGGTGGCAAAGTGATTCACCTCCATTGGGTGCATTTTTTAAAAATATATTTCTTTATTGATTTCAGAGAGGAAGGGAGAGGGAGAGAAACATCAATGATGAAAGAGAATAATTGATCGCTGCCTCCTATATGCCCGCCACTGGCGATCAAGCGCACAACCAGGGCATGTGCCTTTGACCCCAATCGAACCCAGGACCCTTCTGTCTGCAGGCTGATGCTCTATCCACTGAGCAAAAACAGCTAGGGCTGAGTGCATTTTTATATGCCAGTCATTCAGCTGTGATATTCACCAAAATTTAACATTTCATATCAAGGTGGATATCTACGTTTAAAATTTCTGTTATGCCCATGACCAAATATACTGACAGAGAACATCAGTGAGGTGTCCAGAGTCACAGGCATGGAGAAATTGCTGGAGTCATTGCAAGTACCCACTGAGATGCTACCTAGGGTTTGCCATCTCTGCTGTGGTTGGTTCTGGGCACAAACTGCTTGTGATCCATAAGGCTAAAGGCCTGCCACCTGAGGAATCTGCAGAGTGTCCCTGGCACAGACACCTCAGTCATGTCCCTCTCCCTCTCTCATCCTGTTACACCACCCAGGCCCATAAATATGCCCAATAGTAGCAGTTCTTCCAATGAGTGCCCATGGAACACAGTTCCCAACCTTCTCCATGTGCTGTTTATAAATTTTGGCCATGTTTGCACTGCTCAAGACTCTACCTGAAACATCCCTGAATGGGTGCGATCCTTTATATAGTTCCAACCAGTGCATATTATAGAGGAGTTTTTTTCTTTTGTTCTAAACTGGGTTTTCTACAATACTTATAAATATACCAGCTTTATTGAAATACTATATTTACATACCATAAATATCACCCTTTATGTAAAGTGTACTATTCTGTAGTTTTTAGTACATTCTGAAATCATCATCACATTCTCTCATTCCAGGACATTTCCTATCATGCCCAAAAGAAATTCTGTGCTCTTGACTGTCACTTCCTATTTCCCCAAAACTCCTTCCCCAGGAGATCACACAAGTACTTTCTGCTTATATGGATTTGAATGTTTGGACATTTCATATGAATGGAATGATTTTATATATGGGCTTTTGTATGTGGTTTCTTTCATTTTGTATACTATTTTTAAAGTTCATTCATGTTGTCACCTACATTAGAATTTTGTCCTCTCTATGGCTAAATTACATTTCATTGTGTAAATATTGCACTCTGTTCATTCATTCACCAGTTGATGGACATTTCTATTGTCTCCACTTTTTAAATATTGTGAGCCACGCTGCTATGAACATTTGTGTGAATGTTGGGGAAGGTCATCAAGAAGAGTGAATGTCATTTCACCCACAAGCTGCACCTGGGCAATTGGAGGCTCCCCAATCCCTCCCCTGTGCTTGGAATGGGCTCTCCACATGCCTTCCCCAGGACACAGCCTTGGGATAGGAATGTGGTGATAAGACCATCTGGACTTGGTATGTAACCCAGTTAAGGCCTCTATATAACCTTTTAAGATCCTGGAAGGTGGATTCAGAAAACTACTCGACTTGTGGTCATGAACAAATTTCCTTGTTTATTAAACCTGCCACCTACCAATAAGGACTGCAGGCCTTTTTCTTCAGTCTCTCCCTGCCCTTCACAGACGGGAGCCAGTTTCAGATTTCCCCTGAGGGCTCCCAAGGAGGTCTATGAAGCCACAGTACAAGGTTTAGTGTGGATGTAGTGTTTATTATCTTGGGAACATACCTAGAGGTGGAGGTGCTGACATAGGATAAGTCTATGTTCAACATTTTAAGTAAGTGCTACCAGTTCCTTACAAGTTTTAGTTTCAATCATGTGGTTCCCTCTCAAAAAGAAGGAGAACACCCCCACCCCTCCCAGATGTAGCTGCCTTGAATAAATCTGGCTGCTTCATTAAAAAAAAAAAAAAAAATGTTCTAAGTAAACCGGGCCTCTTGAAAACCTGCCTCTGCTAACCCTTGTCGAGTTCAGTCCATACAACGGGCTGGTGAGTTAGACTCCTGGTAACTGTGCCTGCAATTTCTGGAACTTGAGAATGAGCCCCTTTGTGTCCTTTCCTCCCCAGTCTTTTCTTTAAAGGCCTGAGCACCTGGAGTCATGACTCCACCATCTTCCTGGCTTCATGGTTCACCGGTGTTTGGAAAAGTCTGTCACTCCCTGTGCTACCTCTGTGGACTGAGTCTTCCTTTCTAATCCCACTGTTTGATTCCGCTTCAAGTGGAATCCCTCCTCCTCATGCTCCCTGTTGGACTGGGCCTCAGTCTGTACCTCAAAGGCTCATGCTGCTGTTGGTCATGATCCCGTGACACAATCCTGATCATTCAAGGAAGAATCTAAATTGTTATTAATTGTTGATGAAAAACACAGAAAAAATACCTACAGGGCTCTCTCCTTTATGTCTGTCCCGTAGAGGTTGTATTTGGCAGCAATGTAATTGAGAATGGCTCTGGTCTGTGCCAGCTTCATCCCGTCGATTTCCACCATGGGCACTTGCTGGAACATCAAAGACCCATCTTTTGAAAAAAGAAAAGAAAAAGTAGAGTGAAATGTCTAATGGATCACAGTCTTTTGAGATGAAAACAAGTTTGTTGAAATTATCAGGTAATACTTTAACAAAATGGCATTTTGTTCTTAGTTTTTTACAGTCCTTTTTCTTATCAGTCTGCTTTTTATTTTTTAACTCACTATTTTATTTATTGACCTTTTTATTTCCATCAGATACATGGTAGCTACCTGTATTTTTTGCGATTGATTTATCTTTGTGGATATTTTTAAAAGAAGCTGGAGAGAGGCTGCAGCAGGCTGCCAGCCCGATGGTATTTCAAATGGGAAGTTCCCACAGTAACTCTTGTGGTGCTCATGGCATTTAAAGCAGGTTTTGAGAGAGATTTTAACGTAGGGATCTCTTTCCCTGACTTCAACATCTGCAATATTGCTAGGGCATTACCTCGCAACAAACCATAGAGATAATTCAAAGCTACTGCTGGGCCTATTTCTACTCTCTTCACCCTGATGCATGTGTTTGAGTGTCGGAGGATAGGTGGGGTCCTGAGCGGACACAGCTCCTCACAGCGGGTGCAGAAAGGAGAAGAAGCAAGGAGTGGGCATTCCAGGTCACAAGGGATGAATCCCTGGTGAATATTCTGAGTTCTAGCCTTCCTAGCCCTGAGTGAGTGGTGAGACCTACTCAAGGGGCCCCACCCTTATACTTGAACTACTTTTCTTCCTCTTTCACCCACCCTCCATCTCCCACCATGCACACTCATAGACATTGCCTGGTGTTCAAACCTCACTATTGCATTTATTCCCTCATCAGAGGAATTTAGATACATTGTCTTACCATTTCTTAATTTTTCCAAGTCTTCTGGACTTTCCAAAAATTGCTCTTCAAACTAGAATCAGAAAGAGTAAAGGAGTTCTGTGATTCATTACAGAACTTTGAGCATTACAGAACTTTTAACCTTAAATGACCTATCTGGTACATCATATGGAGGAGGTAATATTCCTGAGTTTGGCATGGTACACAAGGAGTACAGTGATGCCATTTGGAAATTCAGATTAGAGCCATCAAGAACAGAACATGAAGCAAAGTAAGCCAGTCAGAGAAAGACAAGTATCACATGATTGTGTCGAATCTAATGAACAAAGTAAGTTGATGAACAAAACAGATCCAGAGACACTGAAACATGCAATAGAAGGATGTATTTCAGAGGGATGTGGCGGGTGTGGGGGGCTGGAAGAGTTTGACCAAAGAATTTATATATGCTTAGCCCATGGACAAACAATAATGCAGGGAAGGCCTAGGGAGTGGGCAGGAACAGGGTGGAGCATGTTATGGGTGGGGGCTAGAGGGGGAATAGAAGAAAACATCTGTAATACTTTCAACAATGAATATATTTTAAAAAGAGGACAGAGCATGGCTTGCAGCACTTAACTGCTCACACTTGGAGGTTCCTTTCACCTCCATCTGCTTTTACATCTGTCAATGGTCAGGCCATGATTTGGGAGGGGAGTGTTATCACAGGGAAGGGACTGGGAAGTTCTTGTAGTTATGGAGTTTTGATATCTCAGGAAAGCCTTTCTCTCCATATGAGACAGGCCAGGAAATTGTGTGTCTACCAGTGTGGAATATCCACGGGCCCATAACCATCTAAGATGCTGTCACCAAGGTGACAATTACCTCATTTCATTTCATTTTATAGTTTAAAAGGAGTATTTTATAATAAAAGTTTTGATCTTTAGCTTGATCAGTGGAACAGTCTATTGTGGATCTACATAATTCCATAGGGGAAGACCTGATAGATAGTGAGTTATGTGTGCAGGGATTTATAAAGCTTCCAGTGCAAGACAAACATAAAGGATGGAGGATGGTCATGAAGGGAGGGTGGCCAAGGTAGGGTGGCATTGGCATTGGCTGGTGTGATGTTGCTTGTGAGGCTAACGGAGGTGAAAATGATTGTAAAGATCAACCTTTGGGAGCACAGAACCCAGGAATGCTGACCAAGATCCTTACCCCACACCCTCTTCAGTAAAGCTGGGATGGAGTAGAGGAAGCCTGAGATGTTCTCAACATCACCTCCTAGTCACCCTCCTGTGCTGAACTCATCCTGCCCACAGGCTCTGAACACACCCCTGAACCCCAGAGCTGAAGTCGGGGTGGGTTCATGGAGAGAGAAAAAAAAGCTGCATGGCACTATTTGTATTTTTTGTGTACTTCCTCACATATGAAATTAAGAAAGAGTCAGGCTCAAGTCCCCATGTCTTCATGAACCAATGAAGAAAGTATAATCCTGGATCAGGTAAACATGTTGTTATGAGGCTGAAGGGAACACAGTAAAGCTCCTGTCTCACCTCACCTGAAACCCTCCTTTACTGTTCTGATTTGTGGGACAAAATTTCCTGAGTTCATCCATGCCTCCCTCTCCTGAAAACCCTCAGAGCTGCTGACTCACTCTGATGTGGACTGAGAGAAAAGTGTTTTTCTCATTGCCACCTCCAGAGGGCAGAGCTCAACAGATGCCAGGGAAACCTACCAATTTTCCATGCAGAACCTGGCATATTGACACTGTAAATCAAGCATGTCAAACTCAAAGGCTAACTCGGGTCAAATAAACAAGGTTTAAGTTTATGTGGGTCACAAAAAAACAAAAGCTTCCATTTTCATAGAAACGTAGGTTTATTTCCATAGAGACATGCTGAATACAAAGGGCTGAAATAAAAGACTCATCATTAACATAAAATAATAATAGAACATTTTAAGGAAAATTAATATTTTTTCTTGAACATTAACTTACCAGACACTGAATAACTGCACAAATTAATAAGCGTAAAGCAAATAAACTTATTTTTCTTGTTCTCCGAAAGCGAGATATTTCCTGTTGCGCACACCAAACAAGTCAGTACCAGACTAATGATGTGGCAATTGGCTGCTAGAATATTTGCTGCTAGTATTAGTGGAGAGAAATGGTGCCCCTGCACATAAGGCAGGTAAGGGAAATGAATGCAACATGATTATAGTAATCAGTCATTAGCGAACATTGTAGTTGGTTATTAATAATTATATATAACAGGATTTTGTAAAAACTAGGTTATGAAATTTTTATTAAAACGTTTCTTATATACCGTTATCTTGACTGGGGTGCAAAAATATTCGTTGTGGGCCACATGTGGGTTTGACATGCTTGCTGTAAATGCTTGGATGTCCTCCTAGATGCGCCCCCATGCCTCCTTTTAATCACCTATTCACTTGTCTGCATCCTGACTGGAATGTAAGCTTCCTGAGGGCAGGGACCTTGTCTGTCTGGTTCATCCGTGTATCCCCAGAACCAAGCACAGAACCTGCCACTTCAAGGTGCTCAACACAATTATGGCTGAGTGCATGCCTTAAATCTTTAACAGGCAGCTTGTTATAATCTGCTCCTCTCCACTTTTGTGGTTATATCTTAATTTTAATTACATTACATTCTAATATTATCATTTTTATCCTTTTATTATAAAAATTTCTAGCATGTACAAAATGAAAGTACAAATATACTCGTTGTATCCATTACCCAGCTACAATCATTATCACACAAGCCAATCTTGTGTCACCTAGATGCCCACCCACTCTCCCTAGCTTGTGAGAATTTGAAACAACCCCATATACTGTATCATTTAATACTTAACTCTTTTATTTATATTCCTAAAATATTAGATTTATTATTAAAATAACCACAATATCACACATAACTAAAAAATTAACAATGATTTTTAATATCCTCTAATATTCAATCAATAGTTGTATATGTGTCATAAATATTTTACTGTTTATTAAAATCAAAACAAGGTCCATAAGTTATGTTTAGTGGCTGTTTCTTTTATTTCCTTTAAAATGTCCTTTCAATTTTCCCTGTACTCTGACAATTGCTGGATTTTTAAAAATTTTATTGGTCAAATAGTCCAATTCTTTCCTAATATGCATAGTATTTTTATTTAAGGCAAAACCATTCACAGGCCATCTAGTATGAAAGTCTCCTAGCTGACGTGAGAAAGTACTTCACCACAGTCAATTTTGGATTCAACTTAAGATGACAGAACTCACAACCCACCTCGACTCCAGCTGCAGCCAGGAGCCACCGGATGGGCTCCATTCGAAGTCGTCCATTCATGTAGTGAAGCTTGGGCTTCCCAGCCATGTCGCAGCCTCCTGGTTTCTCTAAACATGAGTGAATGCATGAATGAATGCATGCATGAATGAATGAAACCATAGAAGCAAACTGTATTTTATGGTGTACATTTGAACAGAAGGGTGAAGTATCTGCTTTCTTAATGGTGGAATTGGTGGAGTCCCATGAGGTCTTCCTTTGCCCATATTCTCACCCAATAGTGGCCATTGGTGTCAAATTGCACCAAGTAAGTCTCAGGTTGCCATTTGTCCTCACTCTGAGGATATAAACAGAGCAGCCTGGATCCCACACAGGAGAAGCAAGCCAGTGAGGGGCCTTGAACCAGAGAACTTACAACAGGGAAGAGGACAAGGTCCTCGGACCAGAGTTAGTCCTCTGCTCTTTGGCTGTCGTGCTGCTCTTGTTCAAATGCATGAAGTGGGGCTTAGTCCTGGCCTGATAGTCACCAAAACCTTCTAAGTTCTCTCCGCTCAGGAAGAGGTTCATTCCTCTTTCCTATTGCAATTCTATATTTTTCACTGCTGGATGAATTTTATTTTTCATTTAGAAAATGGATGTTAGTGCATTACCTGTATAGTACATGGAAAGGAACTAACATGTTTAGTGTATATCACATAATGGACACTTTCTAATTTTTATCCTTACTTAATCTTGGTATAAATGACTTGAGGTAGATCTTGTTGTTATTCTAAGTTTATAGTTGGGGGTTCTGATGGCTATAGAGGTTAAGTAACTGGCCTAAAATAAGTGGTAAACCTATCATTTGAACACACTTAAGAAATATTTACCTAATTATATTGGACACCAAAGTCTTGGAGGTTCTCCAAAAGAGTATTTTGTAAACTATGGATTGTGATCCCTCGGTGTGCTGTGAAATCAGAACAGTGGGTTCTGACTAGCATTTTCGATTTAAAATATAATAGGAAATATCAGTGTGCCATATGTAGTAAGTCTAACTACATACATACTAAATAAAATTTTAAGTTTAGTTACACTTACACAGTGTATGAGTGTGCATATGTGATTGTACGCTCTGGTTTGTTGTAAAAGGTAAGAAATTCATTAGTCTGGGGTCAGCGAAAGAAGTCTGACAGCTGTTATTGGCCCTTTTTAAGGTTTCTCTGCACCACTGACATTTGGGGCTGGATAATTCTTTGCTGTGGGGGGCAGTCCTGTGCATTGGAGGATATTTACTATAGCAGCATCCCTGACCTCTACCCTCCAGATGCCAGTAGCATAGTGCCCTGTCCCTCTCTCCCATCATGACAACCCAAAATAAAATCAGGGGCAAAATCACCTCTGGCTGAGCACCACTGCTCTGTTCCAAGCTGGGACAGCAGCACCCAGGTGGGAGGAGCCAAAGAGAGCTCCTCACATAATGACTGGGAAATTCCAGCAAAGGTCTTGGGCAGGTTTTTAGCAGGGCTGTGAGTACAAAGGCACAGGAGTCATTAAAAAGCAAAGATTTGCTCTTCCCAAAAGCGGCCAGAGGTGACCTCTGAAAATGGTTCACTATTCACTGGACAGAAAACCTCACAAAATCATGCAAACCAAGAGGGTCAAATCTTTGTGCTCATTGCTACACACCATAGAGAGGGTATGATTTGCCAGCTAGCTAGTTAATGATAAAGTCTAAATTAGACCCAATTCTCCTGACATTCAGACTAGTTTCTCCGTATTATCCTACTAATATATTACCGAATTTTCACAGCCTGCAGAAATCAGTTTCTTTGTTGCCCACTAAATAAGTGAGTTTCCCGAGAAGTAGTCGTAGTACACAGTGTGTTGAGCACAGTTCATTGTTCAACAGGCCGTTTGCTCAAAGTTCAGTACACTCTCCATGTGACATGGCATGGGCAGATTTCTCAAAAACCATTCCTTTTTTTGTTTGTTTGTTTGTTTGTTTTGTTAGGATTTCCCTCATAAGCCTTGCCATTTACAATATAGAACTATGGAGTGATTAAATTATAAGCTGGGATCATGGTAATGAAGTAACCAATCCTGATTATAAAACACAACATTGTGCTATTTAAATGGAACTATCAAAGCAGTAGAACTTTCCACATAATAGAAACACAATGGTTATGCCAAAAAGCTTTGGCAAGGTAGCCCAGAGGAATATTTAACTGGGCAAATAGAAGGAATTTGCAAATCCTCTGTCAGACTGGGAACCTCACAGATCAAGAGAAGCTTAAGTTTGTCTAAGACGTAAACCCAGAGGCACTTGAATCCTATTCTAAAGTCCCAATACATTTAGATTCACTAGCCAGTTTGAGTCTTTTCTTTATAAGAAACCCTTCCTACTCTTTGGTCCAAAAGCATTAAGAAGGAAGGGGAGGAGAAGGAGGATGAGAGGAAGAAAGAGCGTTGGGGTGGGCGGTGAGGAGGAAGAGAAGGAGCAGGAAGAGATAGAGGGGAAAGAAAGATAAGTGTTTAATCACAAAGTAACTCATATAAACAACAAACTAATATAAGAATTCACCTATGGAGGAGTAGGTTCAGATTCTGACTGGCAGGCATTGCTGCCAATTGGTTTCCCAACAGGAGGTGTCAGTTCAAGAGGCACAAAACCATTGTCCTATATTTCCTTCCCGTTGCTCAATGTGTGTCCCTGCCACATTTAAATTCAGTACCAGTGTGTGTTGTCTACTGTATGAACACACTAATGCATCATTCATAATGGCGAAGCGATTTTAGTGTAAGCTCACATGCTCTCCCTGGAACTAGAATAGTTGTATTTTCACATTACCGGTAATAATAACACTCTTACTTTTCCCATATTATCAAATTCTCTGCCTTCATTTTCAAAATTCTTGATTATTATTTTCCTTTAAAGACCTGGCCTTGAGGATCTAATAAATAATGCTTGAATTGTCTCCTGAAGACACAAAGAAGGCACAATAAGAACATAGAGTACCCACATAAAATAACACATTCTAAAAAAATTTCCAAGTGAAATGGACACAAGAGAATTTATAGAGATGTGTAAGGTCAGTACTAACCTATTATGTTCACGCTGTCTCTCAGCTCAGCTCCTCAAGGTCACTGCCTAATATCTGTGTTAGATGCTTAAATATTTTCACAACCCTCTCCCTCCTAAGAGGGTGGGGTCCAATAAGGAGCAGTCACTCCCACAGCCTCCAGCCTCCACAGAGCTCAATACGAGACCTGAAAGCAAAGGACAGCTCAACAATGTTTCATTTCAAGATTATCCATAAATGCACAAAGAAGGGATTTCAGGTGTATTTGGTTGCCCAATAGGTCCATGGGAACCAGGCTTCTATTAACACTGCTGCTTATGTAGGATTTCATAAGCAGCAGTTGAAAGATGAAAAAATCTTATGGGAAAATGTGTCACAGGAGGGTAGTGTCAGAAAAGAGGATAAGAAAGAGAAGAGATAGCAACCTAAATTCATAACAAGGACTGAATGATGAATACTGTTGCAACCCAAAATCTCTTAGGCCAAAAGAATCCGTCTGAGTTATCTAGCAGTGGACAGGAGGAACTCAGCTGCCTTACCTGGGCCTTGTGTAGACCCTTTCCTTAGAGTCTACACTTCAGCATTTCCTCTAGCCTCAGGACCCTTGCATGTGCTGCTTCTTTTGATTGGAACGCTCTCTTGTCCCTACTCTCAGGCATCCTGTGCTTCCTCTGTCAAGTAGTTATGACCTTATCTGTTTAATATCTGTGTGTCTTTCCCCACCCTCCACCCCCATTTACTGTGAGCTGCCAAGGGCCCATGACTGACTATAGTGCCTGGCACCACATGGAAGACACATCATAAGTAAAAATAAATACATATAAATACGTATAATGTATCTTTTTCTAATGAAAGATTTCTAACAGATATGAATGCAGAAAGAAGAGTATAATGGGCCTTAATGTACCTATCACATTACCACAATAATTGTAAGCATTGTTTTGAAGCAAATCCCATTGTATTGCATCAATAAATAATTTAAAATATATCTTTTAAACTTTAGTGAAATTATTTATGTTACAGAAAAATTGCAAAAGTGGTGCAGAGTTCCCAAATACCCTTCCCGCAGTTTTGTCTAATATGAATATCATACATAACCATAGTAAAATGATCAAACCAGGAATCTGACATTGATACAATACTATTAACCAAACTCCAGATTTTACATGGGTTTCGTCAATTTTTCGACCAGTGTCTTTTTTCCAGTCCAGGATTTCACACCGATTAGTTGCCATAGTCTCCTCCAATCCAAAATGGTGATTTTCCTCATTCCTTCTACACAGAGCACATTTTATTGTTCCAGCTTTGACCTTTGGGAGATACTTCAGGTTGGCTCCTATGTCCTTTAAAACAAGTTTCCTCCCTTTATGGGCAATTCCATATATTTTCTGCCCCAAAGATGTTTCAGGATATCTTGTGTTTCCTCTACCCCAATCCTGATTGGTCAAGCAGGGATAGTGAATGTGCCCAGGAGGAAGGTTAGAGGCCCCTCCATGCCCAAGGCTGTAATTGGGCTGGAGCTCAGGGTGAGGAGGGATGTGAGGAGGCACCCTTGCAGGCATGGGAGTCACTGAAGGAGGTAAAGAAGGTGGTGATCCTCAGACTTGCATCTTAGAAAAACTGTTCCTGAACTAAAGGGGATCATTTGCTTTTGTGCATCAAAGCCCAGTCAAATGCAGCAGGTTTATTAATTGAGGAAATGGCGCCAAGCCCAGAGTCACAGGTGAGCAAATGCTCTAAGACCTAGCTCCTGATGGCTTCTAATGAACACATCATGAGGGGGAAGAAGTCATTAATCATGATGACTAAGGGAGTTAGGGTCGTGGTCATGGTCATGGTTCTAATGATTGGTCGATGCTAGGGTAGGGGGTAGTTATCATTGCATCTGGTCCTGATGTCAGCCATGGCTTTGGTCTGTCTGGTTTCACAAGGGTGTGGTTGGTGGGCTGGTTCTGCTTTTCTGGGTCTGGAGTTGAAACACAACTGAGGCCTAGATGTCATGTCTAGTTTGGCTGACGCTCTGTCTCTGTGCTCAGCAGAGAGGCTTTGTTCCTAAGATGGTTTGATTCTGACCAGAACCTCATTGTTTGAAGGACTTAATGATTAAGGGAATGGACATGCAGGGGAGAAAGAGGTAGGTGAGCCAGGGTGCTGGGTAAGCCAGTTTGAATCAAAAAGAAAGAAATTGAGTTTCTGCATGGTTACAAACCACTCAGGTTGCAAGTAGAGAGCAGACCAGAGGGCAGTGAAGCTGCAGTTGGGGAGGTTACTGGGGTGGTGGAGGTGAGAAATCATGAGGCCTGCTCTCGGGCAGTGGAAGAGAGACAGGCATGGCAGTTGGGAGTTGTGTTGCCATGGCTCTGTGTCATCCAGGGGGCGGCAAGGAGAGGCAAGGCCGCTGTGTGGACACCTTGGCTGCCAGCGCTGCCCTGGCTCCAGGGAGGAAACGGAGAGGAGGAGGAGGAGCCTGTGGAGCAGACTTTGAGTCTGGTTTCTGAGAAGCTGAGTTTGAGGGGACCAAGGAACAAGATGCTGGACATGAGCTGTGGGCTGTCAGGGGCAAAACCCTGTGGCTTCTGAGCTGAAATAAGGTAACCTGTTCAGGATGGAGGAGAGGCAGGGGCAGGGCTGTGTGCCCAGCTCAGAGCTGGTTTCTCCTGGATGAACCTGGGAGAGAGGAAGCCCTGAGGTCTCCCAGATGGAGAAGGAAAGATCCTGTAATACAGGTCAGTCTCGCTATGACATGGGTTAAGTTCCTGTCAACTTGGAAGGCAACTCACATCCTCCTTCCTGGGACATCATCCCCACCCCTTCCCCCCGAAGCAGACCAAGAGCAGGCAGCTCCCTCCCAGGGGACCAAAAGGGTCCCGTGAAATCAGCAGCTGAACTCCAGGGGCAGGTGTCTGGGTCGGATGGGTGGAAGGGGGAGATCTGCCCAGACCTTTCTCCTGGCACATGACCCGTGTACCTCTGCCTTCTGGACACATCCATCTGGCTGCCCCTCAGGCAACTCAAATTAACCAAACTGTTTCCGAAAAACCGGACCAGAACCAAACAGCGCTCTGAGAGTTTGGAGTTACACTTTATTCACCGCAGCGGGCTCAGGGAAATGAATCCAAATTCTAAGCAAAGCTACAAGCAGAACTTCCCTTTTTATGGAAGAGCCAGCCCTTTGTGGGCTTGCTGGCGGCAGCCTTGAAAACTACACAGTTCTATCAATTAAAAAATGCCCCTGGCATGGCATTCGGTGTATCTAGTCTCTGGCCTACAAGGTCAGACAGCTAAGTTTATCTCCCCCATTATTCAAGCAGGCTAGGAAGCAAAGTTACTTTGTAAGAATAAGAGGCCGTCCATAGAATAGCAGAGAATTCCAAAAAGTAGTTTTACAGAATAGGGGTTTTCCTTCACAAAACCACAAACAGAAATGGGGTTTCCATTCTGAGATTGGCCCTGGTGGCCCACACCGTTGCCCAGGCTGTGGAAGCCTGTCATATCCCTGACCCGCTTTCTCCCTGCGAATCCCCATTTCCCCTTCACTCTCACTCCAACCCAGCTGCTTCTCTCCACACCAACCCATCTTTCAGTGAGGGCTGCCATCATCTCTCCTGCAATTTCCATAGAACCCTGCACACCAGACTGTGTCCAGACCTGGTCCCTGTGGTGCTGTATTTCATCTTCCAAGCGGCAGCCAAAGTGGTTTTTCTTTTCCTTCTTTTTGAGATATAATTGACCTTCAGCATTATATTAGTTTCTGGATTACAACTTGATTCAATATATGTATATATTATGAAATGATGACCACAATAAGTCAAGTCAACATCCATGACCACACATAGTTGCAAATGTGTTTTCTTGTGAGGAGAATTTTTAAAATCTACTCTCTAACAATTTGCAAATATGCACTATTGTTAACTATAGTCACCACACTGTACATAATGACATCCCAGACTTATTTATTTTGTAACTAGAAGTTTGTACCTTTGATCCCCTTCGCCCATGTTGCTCACCTCCACCTCTAGCAACCAGCAATCTGCTCTTTGTAGCTGTACAGTGTTTTTTTTTGTTTTGTTTTTAGATTCCACATATGAATTTTATGGTGTTTGTCTTTTTCTGCCTCACTTATCCTGTAGAATAAAGAGCGAATATGTTAATGGTCATCACACCGTCATGCCGTGATGCCCCCACGCCATTAACTACCGATTACCAGGAGGCTGCGTGCACAGCAGGCGTGTGCTGCGAGTCACGCACGGGTGGGCAGGCACTTGACACTGTGTCCCCACGGGTGCTGGCCCAGACTCTGACAGGAGGGAGGAGGGAGCTGGATATCCGCACCCAGGACTTGGCAAATAGTGATATTAAAATATTTCTTCTAATTAATTCCCTTTCAAAGTGCATGAATTCGTGTACCAGGTCACTAGTTTCACTTAACATAATGCCCTCAAATGGGTCTAAGAAGCACATTTAACTCTGTCACCTTCTGCTTTAAAACTGCTGAATTAGCCATTTTTGCTGTCGGGGTGAAGTTCAGACTCTTGCACAGAGAAGATAAAGCCCTCCATAATCCCACACTCTAGCCCAGCCTCCTTTCAGCCACGCTTCCTCCCTTACCCCAGGCACTCTCACCTTCAGAACTTCCTTCCCACCTCTTTGCTCTTCTTCCTTCACAGAAGGTGTTTGTTCATAGGTGTTTGTTCCCACACTTCTCCTCCCATCTGCCTCCCGCCTCCCCACTTCTGGCTACCTCCTCCTCGCCTTGTAGGCCAATTGGAGTGTCGCTGCTGCTGGAAGCTTCCCCTGACATAGTTCCACAGATCAGGGCTGGGTAAGAGCTAGGTTTGGTGTCAGTCTGCCTGGGTTCAATCATGGCTCTGGAACCTGATACCGTGTGACTTGGGGTGAATGATTTCCTCTCTCCGTGTTTCAGTTTCCCCATCTACAAAATAAGACTATACTGCCTACCTCATAAGTCTGTTGTGAGGGTTAAATGTGAAGTGCTTAGGTCAGGGCCTGATAGCAAAAGGGCTCTAATCATCACACTTCTGCCCCTGTCACAGTGCTTCCTAATTGTCACCCTTTAACCCCATTAGATTGCAGGATGCATGTGGGAAAATATGAAACCACATACATTTTAATGATTAACAACAGTTATCTCTGTGTTATGGAATCAGGGGTGGTGGTGAGGGGGCCACCTGCATTTTGTCTTTCACAAGTTTTGTGCATTAAGCCTGGGCTATGTTTGAAATTTAGAAAAATTTAATATAATATTTTAGATAGGCAGTTAATTAAAAGAATCAGAAAACTCAATTATTTTTACACTATGTCTACAAATATATGAGATGTATATGTATGTGAAAAAAATGGAAAGGAACACAGGTAAAGAAAAATAATGTGCATTGGAGTTCCGAGATTGTAGGTTAGTGTGTTTTCTTGTAACATGTTCTGGCATTGAGGATCCAAGGTGACCATGGAGTACATAGATGTTACACTCCCTTTCACCCAGAACAAACTGGAATTATAACTACCAGTAAAATATAGAGCTATCAACCTGAATGACCAACTGAGGACTAGCTGAAGACAAGCCTTATAGTCAAGGAATTGCAGAAGCCACATTGAGACTGGCAGGAAGGACAGAGATGCAAAAAGATTAGCCCCGTGGTGGGCAAACCGTGGCTCATAAGCCACATGCGGCTCTTTGACCCCTTGAGTGTGGCTCTTCCACAAAATACCATGTGCGGGCGCACACGCACAGTGCGATTGAAACTTCGTGGCCCATGCGCAGAAGTCGGTATTTTGTGGAAGAGCCACACTCAAGGGGCCAAAGAGCCGCATGTGGCTCGTGAGCCGTGGTTTGCCGAGCCGCAGTTTGCTGACCACTGGGCTAGCCCCTGCCTGGCTGGCAGGTACCAAAGGGCATGTACCTGGGTTGCAGGTTTGATCCCCACTCCCAGTTGGGGTGCGTGCAGGAGGCAACCAATCAATGTGTCTTTCTCACATTGATGTTTCTCTGTCTCTCCCCCCTCCCTCCTTCACTCTCTTCCACCCTTTCTCTAAAAATTCAATGGAAAAAATATCCTCAGGTGAGGATTAACAAGACAATTTTAAAAGGCTGGCCTCACTCCCACAGATGGAAGCTGATGTTCTGAAGTGATATCTCAATTGCTAAGGTTCCCCCTGAGGAGCATGGGGTCGAAACCCCACACCAGACTCTCAGTCCAGAGCGCCAGAGCCTGAAAGAGGCACCCACAGAACATTTGGCCGTGAAAGTCAGTGGGGATTCTGTCCTCAAGGGAGAGATAGCAGTCTCCTAAAAACACAGGTGCCCTTTTAAAGGGGCAACCCACAAAATCTCCTCTGCAGGCACTCACCCTGGGCTCCAGTGGAGGGAGGGTAGGGTGGACTAGAGTCCTATAAGGAGAGACTGGGGTTTGTGGCTCTGGGGAGAGAGCTGAGGGGACAGCTGCCAGGGTCCCTGTGCTGAGTCCCCCTCCCATACCACAGGTGTCATCTTTCTTGGGTGGAGCACTCTCCTTCATACAGCATCAGCCTGGGGGAATGCAATAACCCCACCCTCTGGACTCCCTGTTGCCCCACTCTTCAGAGCTCAACCCTGCTGAGCAATCAGCTGCCTGGCAGGGCTGTAGAGGTCTGAGCAGACTCATGGGGTGTCAGTGACTGAATTTTGTGGCTTTGGGGCAGGGGCCATTCCCCCCGCTTTCCCTTGAACCTGACTGGTGCCTCCTTCATGGGAAATCCGCTAGCCTCACTCTTTGGGCTCCCAGCAGCCCCACGTTCCCTATTCCTGATGGCTTCACCCTGCCAAGGCCTGGCAGAATGTGGGAGAGACTGAGTTGTGTGACTCTGGGGAAGGAGCTACTCCTCACTCACACTTTCTGCTAAGCCTGGCTGGCATCTCCCCCTCTCCTGAGTCCTTGTGACCCTGCTCTGCTGAGATTAGGCTCCTGGCAGAATCTGGAACAGTTTGAGTTGTGTGGCTCTAGGAGGGGAAAATTTTTCCTTGTAGGCCCAAGTGGTGCAGAGCCTCCCTTCACAGGCAAATCTTGGTCTGTTTGGGTCTGATAAACTCTGCTAGTCTCACCCTGGTGACTCCCTGACACCCCTGCCCCACCACAAAGGTATGTAAGCACCCTGCAAGTGGCAGATCAACTGGTATACCCTGGGATATTTACTGAGTGGCCTCAGACCCAGCACTGACACCAAGTCTGAACCTGTGTTGATCTGGTGAACACCACTCGCCCCTACCTAGTGACTCACTGAGAACATACCTCATGCAACTGGAATATTGCCAGAAGCTCTTTTAGTGACTGAGCCTAACAGGCAGCTTGAAGATAGAGGCAGGCAGAGGCAGATCTCAGAGTTTATTGGGATTTTTGCTAACCTACTCCCATGCTTAGTGCTAATAAAAGCCAGCCTTGGTGCACAGCTTGATCCTTCCTGCACACACCCACACCCAAGGCTAGTCACAGACACAGTGTCTGACAATAGCCTGCACCAGAGTCCCTCCCAAAAGGTCTCAGGACCAACACACTCAGTAACAACAGGAGGACCCACGAAACCCACACAAGGGAGCTGGTTCTTTGAAAACTGAAACAAGATTGACAAACCTTAAACCAGACTCATCAAGAAAAAAGAGAGAGGATGCAAATAAATAAAATCAGAAATGAAAGAGAAGTAACAACTGACACCAAATACACAGGATTGTAATAAAATATTATGAACAACTATAAGCCAACAAATTGTACAATCTGGAAGAAATGGGTAAATTCCTAGAAACATACAATCTTCCAAAGATGAATTAGGAAGAATCAGAGAATTTCAATAGACAGATTACAACCAATGAAACTAAAGCAGTGATTTTTTAAAAAAAAAAAAAAAAAAACTCACAACACACAAAAGTCCTGGACCAGATGGTTTCACAAGAGAATTTTATCAAACCATCAAAGAAATAGAGGCCCAATGCATGAAGATTTGTGCAAGAATAGGCCTTCCTTCCCCTGGCTGCCGGCACCGGCTTCCCTTCGGCACCTGGGCCTTCACTCTGGCTACTGCCTTTTGCCTTCACTCTGGCTGGAGCCACCTTTGGCCTTCGCTCCGGCCCTGCTGCCCTCCTGTAGCTCCCTCCACCCCCCGTACCCCCCCTCATAGCAGGCGTCCTGTCCAGCCCCAGCCACTCCACGCCTGTGCACACACCCTGCCCAGAGGCCCAGAGCAGCCGGGGCAGGGTGGAACGCCTGGGTTGTCGCCATGGCCATGACGCAAGCATCCCAGCCACCACCATCTTTGTCACATCAATTTGCATATTCCCTCCTTATTGGTTGTGGGCAGCGCCATCTTTGTCATGGAGTGACAGTTAATTTGCATATTCTGTCTTTATTAGATAGGATAATGAACACCTATTTTTCTCAAACTATTCCAAAAAATTCAAGAGGAGGAAGGACTCCCAAGTTTATTTTATGAGGCCAGCATTATCCTAATTCCAAAACCAGGTAAAGACACTACAAAGAAAGAACATTATAAGCCAATATCCCTGATGAACATAGATGCTAAAATCCTCAACAAAATATTTGCAAACTGGATCCAGCAATACATTAAAAAGATCATACACCGTGGTCAAGTGGGATTTATTCTGGGGATGCCAAGTTAGTACAATATCCCCAAATCAATAAATGTGATACACCCCATTAAGAAAATAAAGAATAAAAATCACTTTATCATGTAAATAGATACAGGAAAAAAAACATTTGATAAAATCCAGCACCCATTTATTATCAAAGCTCTCAGCAAAGTGGGAGTAGAGGGAACATACCTCAACTTAATAAAGGCCATATATGACAAACTCACAGCCAACATCATCTGTATTTAATGGGCAAAAACTATAAGCATCCCTCTTAAGATAGGGAACAAGATAGGGATGTCCACTTTCACAGCTTTTATTTAACATAATACAGGAAGTTCTAACCACAACAATCAAAAAAGAATAAGAAATAAAAGGCATTCAAACTGGAAAAGAAGGAAAACTTCTTTGGCAGAGACAGATCTCAGAGTTATTTGCATATGACATTATACTGTATACAGAGAACCGTAAAGATTTCACAAAAAAATGTACAAGAACTGATAAGTGAATTCATTAAAGTGGTAGGATACAAAATAACTATCCAGAAATTAGTTGCATTTCTATACACCAATAATGAACTATCAGAAAGGGAAGCTAAGAAAACAATCCCATTTACAACTGCCTCACAAAAATAAAATACCTAGGAATAAATTTAACCATTGATGTAAAAAACTGTACTTAAAAAAATATAATATACTGAAGATACAAATAAATGGAAACATATCCCATGTTCATGGCTATAAAGAATTAACACATTAAAATGTCCAAACTACCCAAAGAAATCTATAGATTCAATGCAATTCCTATCAAAATACCAATAGCATATTTCACATAACTAAAACAAATATTGAAAAAATGTATATGGAACCACAATATACCCCTAATAGCCATAGCAATCTTGAGACAGAAGAACAAATTTGGAGGAATCATGCTACCTGGTACCTATAGCAATAAAAAAGCATGACACTGGCATAAAAAACAGACATATAAGTCAATGGAACAGAATAGAGGGCCCAGAAATAAACTCACACCTTTAGGGTCAATTAATAATTGACAAAGGGGGCAAGAACATGCAATGGATAAAGACAGTCTATTCAATAATGGTGTTGGGGAAGTTAGACAGATATGTGCAAAAAATATGAAACTAGACCAACTTCTTACACCATACACAAGAATAAACTCAACATAGATGAAAGACTTCAATGTCGGACTTGAAAACATAGAAATCCTAGAAGAAGACATAGGGAGTAAAAGCTCAAACATTTCTTATAGCAGTATTTTTTCTGATATATCTCCTTGGTCAAGGGAAACAAAGGAAAGAATAAACAAATGAGATTACATCAAATGTAAAAGGTTTTGCACAGCAAAGGAAACCATCAACAAAATAAAAAGACAAACCACTGAATGAGAGAACATGTTCATCAATGATACATCTGATAAGGGGTTAATATCCAAAATTTATTTAAAAACTTATAAAATGTAAACAATCCAATTAAAATAATAAGCAAAGGACCTGAATAGACACTTCTCCAAAGAGAATATACAGATGGGCAAGAGACATATGAAAGGGTGCTAACCATTACTAATCATCAAAGGAATGCAAATTAAAACCATAATGAGATATCACCTCACACCTGCCAGAATGGCTACCATCAACAAATCAACAAACAACAAAAGTTAGCGAGGATATGGAGAAAAGGGAACCCTCTTGCACTGTTGGTGGGAATGCAGATTGATGCAGCCACTGTGGAAAGCAGTAAGGAGTTTACTCAAAAATTAAAAATGGAACTGCCATATGACCCAGTGATTTCATTTCTGGGAATATATCCAAAGAAACCTAAAACACCAATTTAAAAGAATATATGCCCCCCCTCCCTATGTTTATTGCAGCATTATTTACATTAGCCAAGATTTGGAAGCAGCCCAAGCACCCATCAGTAGATGAGTGGATAAAAAGTAATGGTACATTTACACAGTGGAATACTACTTGGCCATAAAAAGAAGGAAATCTTACCTTTTGTGACAGCATGGATGGACCTGGAGAGTATTATGCTAAGTGAAATATGCCAGTCAGAGAAAAGACAAATACCATACGATTTCACTTATATGTGGAATCTAATGAACAAAATAAACTAGCAAACAAAATAGAAACAGACTCATAGATAGAGAACAGACTGACAGCTGTCAGAGGGGAGGTGGTTGGGGGCTGGGTGAAAAGGTGAAGGAACTAAGCAAAAAAAAACCTCATAGACATACAACAGAATGGTCATTACTACAGGGAAAGGGGAGGGAGGTAGGAGAGGATAAAGGGGGGATAAATGGTGATGGGAGGAGACTTGACTTGGAGTGGTGAACACACAATACAATACACAATTGTACACCTGAAACTTACATAATTTTATTAATCAATTCACCCTAAATAAATTCAATTTTAAAAAAACACATACTAAGATTTTAATGTAATATTATTTCTTAAGAAATTAAATTAATTAAAATTAGGAGAACAGATATGAAGCAAAAGGGAGCCTCCTCTATAAAGCAGAAGGAGAGAAGGAGGGATGAAAGGAAGAAAGACAGCAGGATTCATTTAAGTTGACAGCACTATTCATTTAAGTTGACAGCAGTACGTTATGTGGCACAGTATTGCATTGGATCACACTGGACAATATAATGAGGGCTTAGCAGAACCTGCGTTGGCATGGCCCAGCCTGGCATAAGCTTTAAGTTTGTTTAGTAACTCCTTGCATCACATCAATTACAGTAGTTTGCATGAAGAATGTGGGCTTTCGAATTTAGGTTCAAAACCCAGCTCAACCACTTACCAATTATGCAAACTTCGGAAGTTTCGTAATATCTTAAAGCCTAATTCTTCATCTGTAGAATAGAGATAGTAATACTTACCTGAATAGATTATTGTGAGGTTGAAATATGTGTAAAATAGTGACATATAATTACTCAAAATAGTCCTTTTCTTCATCATCATCATCATCATCATCATCATCATCATCATGTGTGTGCAGTTTCGTATGGACAGAGAGGAGCTATATGTGCAAGCAGGGCCCCAACTGCAGGAATCTCATCCTTTGGTGGTGGGAAGCTGGTGATAGATGGGGAGTGTTTGAAATGTTAGGAGAGACTTTCCAGGTGGAATTTCACAAAAGGAGCGTCTGGGCCAAGACAAAGATTCAGTTATCGGAAGTGCAATCTAAAGCAAGTTCTGAGCCAAAGGAAACATAAATAAGCACAAAACTAGGGATCATTTAGGCTGATAAACAATGATTCCATTGTGGGGAGGTCAGTCAATATTGCTAGAGTCAAAAATGCAGCTTCTGGGGCCCGGGCCTTAAAGGGACTGACTGCTGTCAGACACTGGAGGCACTGGTTCAGTAAATATATAGGTTCCAGGTTTTCATAAGAATGTGGTTCTAGAATCTATATTCTAAAGCACATAAATCAGAGCATATTTTCCTCTGGGAACTGTGTTACATGTGTACGTTTTATTACTCACCAAGGACTCAGTATGCCAACAAAATGTCATAAAAACAGAGATAAAGCAACTATGAACCTACAAAACAATCTAGTGAGCTTTCAGTTTGTGCAAAATGGAAATCTGCCAGCATTCCTGACTCCTCCTATGACAACTGATATTTTGCTGGAAGAATTTAAGAAGTCAGTGGCTGACTGGCAGTCCTGGGCTTCCCCTATCTTCCTCACTCCCACCCAATTATCCACCAAGTTTGCTGGTTTTCTTCAATGTCTTTGAATCCATCTCCTTTTCTCTGTCTTTACATCTTTCTGCCGTAGTATTGGCTTCATCATCACTCAGCTGGGTCCTTACAGAAGCTCCTAACCAGATTCCCTGCCCCTTCTTTCTGTCTACATATTAAAGATGCTTTAAGCTTCAAGCCAGAGAAAATTCCAACAAAAGCATCTTAGTAATAAGTAATATAGTATCTCAGTAAGAAATCTGGAAGCACCTCTAGGGATGATGTGATTAACTTTGCAACACAACAATGTCATCAAGGACTCTGCTGGTAAACTGGCTACTTCATCAGGGCCATGACTTTGGCCGCACAATGACTGCCACAACCTTCGTCTCCTCAGCTCCTCGGCTGACTCCTGTTTTGGGTCCTTAGTCAAGGTTGCATGCCATGCCGATGCATAAACACTTGACCATGATTGTCTTAATCAAAACTCATTGATGGAACTGAGAAGGGGCCAGTTTCCCTAACCCCATGAGAGGGTGATGCCCCAGCAACACTGTTGGAATGCTGTAGAAGGGGCAACCAACTGTGCCTGCTATCCCTCACCTTCCTAACCAAGCCCCTTCTGCACAAAATTCATCCCTATAATGCAAATCTGACCTATTTACACTCCGCATTAGAGCCCTTCAGGAGCTCTGCATGACTTAAGCCTCCTACTGCATGAATACAAAACTTCAAAATACTTTGACACATTATCAATCAATCAGCCCATGACAGCATTCTCACTCCTTTGTTCTCATGCTTATACTGACAAGACTCACCTGGAAGAGATACTCTCCCCTTCCACCTAAGATTGGGCTAAATATCCCTCATTAAAGTCCTATTCCAGGCTATATCTATCCAGTGCAAAAACCACCTCAGTGGTTGTGTAGGGCTGAGTTCCATTCTGATTATTTGGGTGTTCATTCTAGTTGGTCTCTACCCTTCCTAAAACCCACTGATAAATGTATTTTCCATCACCTTACTCTTATAACACTATTGCAGACTATCTTAGTATTTGCTTCTTAATGTAATGAGCCTTCCCTCTACTAAATATAAGCTCATTGAGACCATGTGTATTATCTTATTAATCGATGTAGCTCCCAATGCCTTCCACGATGCTGGCTGGCATAAAGTGAGCTTTCAATAACTTAAAACATTTTGATTGATGAACCAGTTGCATACAAGAGAATAAAAGAGAGGAAGGAGTTCATGATGATGCTGATAAGTGGAATAATTTTGATAGGAGGAAAGTTGGGCAGAAGAACCAGTTGGGTGGGAATGAAGTTTTATGGGGCTAAGATTTGGTCAAATGGAGTTTTAGACCATGGCAGTACTGCCCTGATAAGACTGTTACCAACCCCAAATGGGGTCTGGCCACTTAGTAGGTATCAGGCAAAAGAACACTCTAAGTTTATTTTGTTAGTAGGAAATTTATTCCAAGCCTGTTATCAAGGAGTACACTGGGGATCCTTCCCTGAGCAGTGCCTCTCTGAGTACAAAAGACCACTTAGTATTATAGGGCTAGTTGCTTACATCATAGCATGTTGAGGTATGTTGGGGATGAGCATGCCCAGTAAACAGACATGGCTATACTTACATCACATGAAAAGGAAATGGCAGATAAACCCCACTTTGGGCAAGATTTTAGAATTATAATGAGAAAAGTTAACACAGAGGCCATCTAAGTGTCTGGTCAGCCTCAACTGGTCCAGCTAGTTTTCTTACCATTCTGGCCCTAAGGGAAAACATCTTAGGCAAGTTTTGTTAGTAATCAGTCAATCTCCCAAGCTTAGCAAATATTTAGGTAATTGGCTAGGCTTTCTCCTAGTTCTTAACCCTTCTGTACAGCTAGGTAGGCTGCAAGAGGAGATGTTAGCATCTATTTTTGGGTCCAGGAGAAGTTATAATGATGGTACAGTTGTAGGTGTAGAGGGAATAATAAAAAACATTAGAAAAAAACCTGTTAATCTCTAGTTGAAAACCTGAATATATATAGCCAAACAGGGCTTAGATCAAGCATGTCAAACTCGAGGCCCACGGGCCATATGCATCCCACAACGAATATTTTTGCGGCCCAGCCAATATAACAGTATGTAAGAAACGTTTTAATAAAAATTTTAAACTTACTTTTTACAATATCCTGTTATGCATAATTATTAATAATGAACTACAACATTCGCTAATGACTGATTACTATAATGGTGTTGCATTCATTTCCCTTACACGCCTTACACACAGGCGCACCATTTCTCCCCACTAATACTAGCAGCCGATTGCCATGTCATTAGTCTGGTACTGACTTGTTTGGTGTGCACAACAGGAAATATCTTGCTTTTGGAGAACAAGAAAAGTAGGTTTATTTGCGTTACGCTTATTAATTTGTGCAGTTATTCAGTGTCTGGTAAGTTAATGTTCAAGAAAAAAATATTAATTTTATTAAAATGTTCTATTATTTTATGTTAATGATTACTCATTTATTTCAGCCCTTTGTATTCAGCATGTCTCTATGGAAATAAACCTACGTTTCTATGAAAATGGAAGCTTTTGTTTTTTGCGGCCCACATAAATGTAAACCTTGTTCATTTGGCCCGTGTTAGCCTTTGAGTTTGACATGCTTGGCTTAAATGCTATGACTTCCCGATGCCCTTTGTCTGGGTTGCCAGTTCCAGTTATGAATCCCCACAGAAACCTGTTCTGCCCCCATCATCATCATCATCGATCATTTGACTATCTTCCCTGTTAGACTATAAGTACCATGAGGTCAAGGACCGTGTCTGCATTGGTCCCCATTATATCACCAGCCCAGCATTCACCACAATAGCAGCATTTAAAAACTATTTCTTCAATGAATGAATAAATGTTAAAAATATTTGTACTAATTAAGACTTATTAAGTAACTAATTTTGTGGCAGGGATGGTGCTAATTGCTTTTTTATGGATCACCCCATTTAATACTTACAACCCTCCTTTGATGTTGATACCAACCATCCTCCTACTCACTCTACAGGTGAGAAATCTGGGCTTAGGAAGTTTCGAATTTGAGTCCACCCTTGAACACATTAATCTACCTTCCAGTTTTAGTAAAAGGAGATAACAGATAGACTCTTAAGTGGTAATCCATGGGCACACAACTTTCCCAGTCTATTTAACTTGCCCATTATTTTCTGAACATTGAAGCCAACACTGAAAATGGGGTGATTTCACATAAACATCTAGATATCCAGTTTCTTTTGTAAAACTTCAGAGAAACTAGAGCAATTGGGCATGTTCAGACATGTAAACTGTGGGCTGGAGCTGAGCAGTGACCACCATCTGGTAAAGGCCCTGAGCCCTGCCCACTGCCCGTCGTCACTCACACAAACTTCTTGAGCAAAGGCACTTCCGCCCACTGGACCACGTCACTCCTTGGCTCACAGGCACCCTGAAGCTTTGTGACTTTGCAATCCTGGATCTACCAGGAAGTCCTCAGAGTTCTTTTATTATCACTTAATCCACCCCCTTCCCTCTTTACTTATTAGCAGAGTAATCAATCTTTTTGTTTCAGTCCCTTCTTAGTTTTTATTTTTAAGACTCCACTTATTAATCCACACGTTTATTTTAAAATGAATCAGTATTAAGATTGATTTCAAAATCCCCTCAAGAAGACAGCCTCCTCAATTTTCAAATGTACATACAACTTATATAATAAGCCTAATGAAAATAAAATTAAATGTATACATCAATTTCAGCTCCCACCTCCCACCTCCTTCCCCAATTTGGAAGATAAATACTGCAGAAAAATTCTATGTCCTAACATTTGCATAAATTGTGCCTTTTTGTCTCTGCTGACCTCTAGTGGTGTCCGCAGTAGTGATTAAAAGGAGCAAAGAGAAGGAATGTACATGCTCTTTGTGGAATGCATGACATTTACAGTACCCCCAGATATGTTTTAGTTAGCAATGCAATTTAGACCACCTAAATGAGAACTCACTGCTTGGTGATGGTGAAACACCGTTTCCTTTCAAACAAAATGCTGCTAATAGTTGCAAAAATAGCCACCATATATACCATTACCGCACTCTGCTTTGAAGCAACTTGAATAAAGGCCCTCATTTTAAATTTGCAACTCAGGAACTGTCTAAATTGGAGGTGAGTTCACGATCAAACAGTAACAGATGCTATGGCAGGACAGTACTGGCTCGTGTCATTAGTGCTGTTCGGCTCCAGATCTCTGGAGTTGATACTGGGCAAGGATATGAACCCAAGGACAACCAGGCCAGGCCTCCAGGGCTGCCTGAGGATCCAGTTACCAAGAGATAACAAGGGCAGCCAGGTGTGCTCTGTGCCAGGCACTATCTATATGGCTTTGAGAATAGCAGTACCCTTGTTTTACAGATAAGGAGACAGGAACTCAGAAAGACAAAACTTGCCCACTCACCTCACTGGCCAGTCCCCAGGCCAAAGTCTCTGCTGTTTTCACCACCTGCCTCTCACTCACAGCACAAGAGAGAAAGCAAAGTGTGATATGGGGCTTGAAGGAAGCATGAGCCCAAGCCACCACAATGGAAGCAAATAAGTAAGGGTCTTAGACATAAAGCAGGAAGAGATTGGGGGGTGTGGAAAGGGCAGCCCGGGACTTTGGCTCCTGAGTAGCGTGGCCAGATAAAATTCAGGATACATGCAACATTTGGGACCTACTTGTACTAAAAACTATTCATTGCTTATCTGAAATGCAAATTTAACGATGGGGGGTTTTTTTGTTGTTTTTTTGCTGTTGTTGTTTTGCTAAATCTAGCAACCCTATTCTTGAGTGCCTTTTGTGTCTGATTGGTTTGAGCTGGAGGCAGGGCCTTGAAGTTGCCCTTAAAGTAAATGTTTGATAGTGTCCTTTGTACAGATAGCAAGTAGGAGATGGAAGGAACTAGAACATTTTCACACATGGGAGGATGGCTTTCTACGCAAAGAGCCACGACTGAGTTTGTTTGAAAAGCTGAAAAATAATACAAAGCCATGCTGAAAACTTCAACAGGCGCACAGGTCACAGGGGATCTTGTGAAAACGCAGATTCTGACTCAGTAATTCTGGGGCAGGGCCTGTGGCCTTGCATTTCCAACACACTCCCAGGTGCCAGGCATGAGGCTGGTCTGGGGCCACAGTGAGAGGGACCCAGACTGTCTCTCCCTGTGGGGAGATGTGCCTCTGGGCATGTCATGCGATTCAATTAACTCCAGCATCTCTTCCAGTCTTCTTGTTTGACACTTGACAAGACTTTTTATCACTAACCCCATGAGAGGGCGATGCCCCAGCATAAAGCTATTCTCTATGTTGCCTTCTGGGAATAACAAATGCAACTCAACTATCGTTTTAAATTTGACCACAAAGTCCTAAAAGGAAAAACAATCGAATTAACTAGATTATTAGAGGGTCAAGTCAGGGCATTTAGAATAATGGGAAGTAGCAGCTACTTCTTGGGATACATTATAACCCTGCGAATAGGTAATCCACTGAAAGTAGAACTTGAGAGTTCTCCATCCCTCCAATCTCCACTGTACCAGCTTTTCCTTGTTATGTACCAGCCAATAACAATGCAGGTTCATCCCACCCCTTGACCCCTCCTCTGCTATTGAGATGAATAGCAGGGCCAGGCTTAAAAATTATTAAAATCATGCAAGGTTTGGGGGAGGATCCAATAGATACTGAATGGAAATGAGTTTGGGGGAAAAATAAAATATGCTAACTTAGCAATATAATGGCTGCTGAGGGTTATGAAGGGAAACAACCATGTCAAAATCAGCCATCTCTCTCATTTTAAAATATATCTTTATTGATTTCAGAGAGGAAGGGAGAGGGAAAGAGAGATAGAAACATCAATGATGAGAGAGAATCATTGATTGGCTGCCTCCTGCACGTCCCCTAGTGGGGATCAAGCCCGCAACCTAGGCATGTGCCCTTGACCAGAATTGAACCTGGGACCCTTCAGTCCGCAGGCTGACGCTCTATCCACTGAGCCAAACCAGCTAGGGCGAGCCATCTCTTAACACCAGTGGTTCTCAACCTTCCTAATGCCGTGACCCTTTAATACAGTTCCTCATGTTGTGGTGACCCCCAACCATAAAATTATTTTTGTTGATACTTCATAACTGTAATTTTGCTACTATTATGAATCGTAATGTAAATATCTGATATGCAGGATGTATTTTCATTGTTACAAATTGAACATAATTAAAGCATAGTGATTAATCACTAAAACAATATGTAATTATATATGTGTTTTCCGATGGTCTTAGGCGACCCCTGTGAAAGGGTCGTTCGACCCCCAAAAGGGTCGCAACCCACAGGTTGGCGACCCACAGGTTGAGAACCGCTGCCTTAAACAAATAGTATTAGATATCTTTAATCTGCCAAACAGAACATCAGGCTCCTGCCAAATATATTTAAAAGACTGTGGGTCCCAACATCTAGATTGGGCTCGGGTTCAGCCACTCATTAGCTTGTGATCTTAGACAAATTTGCCGCCTCCCCTTGGGCCTAGTTTTCCATCCCATCCCTACAACCAGGGATTGTTGCATCCCTGCAATTCCTGTTGGCAGCACAACAGATGCAGGGGTCAGAGGCTGGCTGCGCCTCACTTTCCCTATCTGTAAACTGCACAGTGAATCCCGGCCCCACTGCTTTGAGGAACCACTCCTGCCTCTTCCACATGGTTCCTCTGTGGCTTCAGCAACCCCTCAGGGCCAACCCCAGAGCCACCAGCAGGGCAAGCCAGTCACCGCTGTGAGAGAACCTGAGCCGACACAGGAGGAGACACAGCAACCCTGAGGGTCTGAGAGTCCCTGAACTCACCCTCATTCTTTCAAACATATGTGCTAATAAACCCCTTCCTAGCTTAAAAGCAACAACTATTATCACCAATCACCACCCGCACTCCCAAGTCAAAAGCCAAAACCAAAACCAAATCCCTCGCTCCTAACTTCACTCAGGGCTGGTGATCAGTGAGAACAAACATCTCTGACCCCTGTCTTCACCTTTCTCCCTTTAGCCTGTGCCCAGAAACTCATGCAATCACGTGTTTGGAGTCTAAAGGGAGGACTCATGACGCCCATCAAGTTAGGAGGGGTCATTATGAGGCCACTGCCCGGGTTTTAATTCTTTGTACACACACACACACACACACACACACACACACACGCACGCACGCGCACTTTAACTGCCAGGGCCCCACCCTCCATCTCTGTGGATAAGTTCAGCTCACTGACTTCATTCACCCTTCTTTTTCTGTCCACATTCAAGGCTCCCTGGTGTTGAGGGAGTGGAAGTGAGGTCTTGAATGTTGCTGGGTGCTGTTGGGTCTCTGAGCCCACTTCCTGGGTACCCACAGTTACACAGTCAGCCCAAAGAGAACCCCATAGAGAACAACAAATGGGTAAGACACCAAGTCGTACTTACGGGATTGTGGGACAATGAACATGGCCAGATGTGCCTGAGTCACGTGCGTTGGGTGTGCTTGGGAAGAGCATGCCAGCTTGGGGCCAGGCCTAGGGCTTGTGTAGGCCCCCAGGCAAGGAATAAGAACCTAGAAAATGGTTGTTTTAGCAACCGTCTGGGGAGTCAGGGGGATGATTTTATTGTTCACTATATAAGCCTTCTAAAGTGTTTGAATTATTTACCAAGACCACGATTATAATAAAAAGAAATTGCCTTAAAATTTGAGTCATTAAAAATAATTTAGCCAGGTTAGTGTGGCTCAGTGGTTGAGCATCATACTATGAACCAGGAAGTCATATTTCAATTCCATTTAGGGCACATGCCTGAGTTGTGAGCTTGATCCCCAGTAGGGGGCATGCAGGAGGCAGCTGATCAATGATTCTCATCATTGATGTTTCTATCTTTTGCTCCCTCTCCCTTCCTCTCTAAAATCAATTTTAAAAATATATTTAAAAAATAAATAAAATATAATAATAATTTCTTTTTCCACTTAATTTTTCTAAGCTCAGACTCTCTGCTCTGGGGGAAGTCAGAGGAAAAAGTCATCCCTACACCGATGAGGAGCCTTGCCAACCCCTTCTGTCTTATTCATCAGGTGTGAGTTGGCCATGGCTTTGTCCGGGTGGGAATGAGATGGGGTCATTAGCTAAATGGAATCCCAAGCTGGGATCTGGCCACACTGGGAGCAGGAACTAAGGTCACCCGTGGGCTGGGGTTGGGATGCTGAAGGGCCCAGCTTGTCATAACTCTGTTGAGCAGCCCATTGTCTGAAAAGGGGCGGAGGACTGAATGTCGCAGTGGGCGGTGTAGGAGGCCATGTGCTGTGGCGCCCTGAGGAAATGGCCTGAAGGCTGGTGAGACATTAAGTCATTTCATAAGTAAGGATGTGTATGTGGATACACATTCAGAAACTGATCAAGCCTGGGCAGAACGTCCAGTGTAGAGCTGGTGGGATTGCGTACCCCAAACCCTTGGCAGGAGCCCTACTCCCTACCTGCTCCACCCACCGGAAACCACAGCTGTGCCTGTAACATCACCCTGAATAGTCACCCCATCGCCAATTAGCCTTCCACCCCCCACCAGAGCCCCCATGTGCGGCTGAGCTTACAAACTTTGGAACACAATAGTTATCCTTAAAGAAAGTATGTCAAGCCAAGGGAATCTTTGGGCCAATGTGCATATTCATTGGTTATATCTTAATCTCAGTGTTACTTGGAATTATTTCACCAAAACAAACCCAGTCTTGGCAGCAATGTTAGGTAGAATAGGGTTGTCTAATTGTCCAAGTTTGTTTGTTTGTTTTTATCAGGGTCTCAAAATGGTGTTCCCAGGACATTCTCTGTCCCCCACACATCCCCTTAGGACTTACTGCATCATCCAAGCTCTTCCTGACAATTTGTCACTTGCCACTTTTTTTCTATCCCAAGTACTCAGCATCGGATGGGTGTTGGAAAAATATGTCCCCCCTCCCCTCTGCCCCCCCCCCGCCACCCCTCCCCCCTCAAAGCTCTGCTCACCCTTTCCCCAGTGGTTCTGACCTGGATACAGACAAGGACAGGGCCCCATGTAGGCCGCCACCCTAAATATATCAGCCTCCTACTTATATATACGTTGATCTCAAAAAAGTTCTAAGCATCATCCACAATGGACAAGTTTAAAAATGCTCACATAACCAAATGGTCTCATGTTTCATTTAATTGGCATTTGCTGTTGATGGCAGTACTGCTTTGCTCTTTCCAGACATTTTACACCTAGAATCTACAGTGAGCTCCGGCACGTGCGAGGCTGTGGCTGATGGCAGCCGTGCACCATAGCGAGGCCTGCCGCCATTATAACTGCAGAACGTGCCTGACCACGTCAACGTAGCGGCTATCCGCAGGTGGCTTCCTCTGACTCCCAGGCTGCAGGAACTTCTTAATTGTAGGGATGTTGCTGATTCTTGCTTTAAATGCCTGGAATGAGAAACAGCAAAATCAGGGCCCCAATAGTGGTCACAACCTTTAAGAAAAATCAAAACTTTGTCATGAGTGGAGGTTACTTAGACCAGCGACATATGGAGCCCAGTGTGTTGAATCTGAGTTAATCCCTCAATGCATGTTTGCTGATATTCCTGAGAAGGATAATACAATGGCTGGTGTGTATAGCCTGAGTTACATTATCTTAATTTTAAAAAATCACTGTCATAATTAGGCAGTGCATGTTTTAAAAACTCAAAAAATTATTTAACCTATTAACTCCCGTTCTAGGAATTTATAAGGGAATAAGAAAAGGTGCTAGCAAAGAAATAACTATAAGAATGTTAACACAGTCCAGCTGAGGTGGCTCAGTGGTTGAGTGTCAACCTATGAACCAAGAAATCACCAGTTCCATTCCCAGTCAGGGCACATGCCCAGGTTGCGGGCTCGATCCTTAAAAGGGGGTGTGTAGGAGGTAGCTGATTGATGTTTCTCTCTCATCAATGTCTCATTGAGGGACTTTGTGGAGGCCCTGGAGTCAGGGGGACTATCAGGAAGGAGAGTTGTTTGGTAGGAGATGGGAGGAAAACAACAAAGACAGACTTGTCATCCTTGCTTCATCAGGAAAAACTCAAAGTGCTAAACAAATAAACAAAAAATGGAAAGCACTACAAAAATGAAAAACACACTAAATGTTTATGCCAGAAACCAAAATAATCTATTCTTTTTCCCTTTGTAAAATTTTATTTCCTAATTAGAGGTGCATGAATTTGTGCACAGGTGGGGTCCGGCCAGCCCCTCCCCCGATTAGGGTAGCCGGGCTGGTCAGGGGCCAGGCCAGCTGTGGGGAGGGGCTGTGGGCAGTTGGCTGGCCAGCCCTGACCACAATCAGGGTGGGGGGTTGCTGATGGGGGTGGGGGTGGGGCTGGCGGGGGGAGGGGCTATGGGCCAATCGGGGTTGGGGGGCCAATTGGGAGCAGGACTGGCTGCAGTGGGCATCATAGTGACTGGTCATTCTAGTCATTCGGCATTCGGCATTCAGGTTGCTGGCTTTTTATATATATATATATATATATATAGAATGATCCTATAGTGTGAGCAGGAGAAAATTACAAAATGATAAAATAATGATTTTTTAAAATAGTCTTCTTGAGTTCCTTCTGAGATTGACCTGGAGGCACACTTTGTTTCATTCTTTGTTTTTATTCATTTTCCCCCCGGGTTTTCTGTAGATGTCAACACACTACCTTTAGCAGAGGGAAGTCCGAGAGAACAGAAGCATTGAGTTCTTCCACCATTAAAATAGCTTCTAATAGTTGTACATCCGCCCAGCTGAATTTGTTGCCAACAAGGAAATCCTCTCCATGGTCTTTCAAAATCTGCAGAAAGAAAAATAACGAAGAATATCAAATAAAAGTAGAGACTATTTTGCCTGGCTAAACACTTACAAAACATGTACAGATCAAATTTGCTAAAGAATCTTGGTCTTGCAAACCTTTATATACGGAACCCTATACTAACAAGTCTTTATCATGCGGCATGCTGCCCTCCTGGAACTTTAACAGATATACTGAGAAGACATCTGTAATTAGCATTTGCCCCAAAATGATGTCAGAAAAGTTGTAACTTTAAGAGGCTTTGTCTTTTGAGTGAGGCATGATTAGCTAACAGTATTAAAGCCAAAAGAAATATCTGACACAATGAATTGAGATGATGATGCCTTGGGCTGATCGTTTTTGTTTGTTTGTTTGTTTAAATCAGAACAGAAATACTGTATCCTTTCATTGTATTTGGTCTATTCTAAGTCTGTTTTGTTGCGGGTTCCATAATTAGACATGCCATTTGTTTTGAAATCCTTATTAAAGTTTTAGTCCAGATGCAGGAAGGCTCTAACATGGTTTCTGTCTTTTCGGATACTCACTCTTTTAGTCTTATCAGCAATCGGAAATGTGCAAGGCCTGGATCCCTGCAGCCTGGGAAGGGGAGGTGGGAACTTGCCTTGCCCCGCCCCCCTCCCGCCTTCCCTCCCAGCATCGTCCTTCCCTTCTCCATTTCCGCTCCGGGACAAGAGGAGGATTGGAGGGTGGTCCCGAGAGGTCAGCTCCTCCCTTGTCTACCCCTTCTCCCCCTTCCCCGCCCCACAGGATCTGAGTACGCAGCTGTCGCTGCAGCATCAGGGCTCCCTCCACACCGCTGGGCCCCACAAGGGTTGGATCCCTGCAGCCTACCTTTTCAAAGACCGGGAAGTAACGGGTTTTCGCTTTTGTCACAATTAAAGCGATGTTCTCCTCTTTTTCCTCTGGGGGTTTGAACGGAGCCATCATGATCATCGCCATGAGGTCCAGAGTGCCATCGGCATACATGTTGATCCTGACAAAACACAGTGTGATGCATTCCCAGAGGAAGCCTCCAGTACCGGGTTCCCAACCTGCAACTTCTGTGGTTTAAAAGGAATTGGGGCGAATGACTTGATTCTCCCTCCCTTCGTGTCCATGCTCAGGAATGATTTCTGAAGCCAGAACCAGCCTAGTGATCTCGGTATAGTAGGGTCTCTGGAAATGTTTAGTGAATAAACGGACGCGAGAAAGAATTAATGAGTGCTTCTAAGTTGAAACCTTCCATAAACAAGCAATTAGGTTATTATGGATTTAAAGACAGAAATGAATGAAGTTTACCGAAAATACAAAACAATTTAGTACCAAGACCTTTTCACTTGGAAGATATATCATTTATCAGGTCTTCTGTTGACCTGGCATCTGAGAAAGAAGTTTACTTTCCTAGTCAGGTCGGACAAACAACTCATGTTATACTCTTAAAATTTTTCCTTTGAAAAAAGTGGTTTTTTTGGCAAACACTTTTTTAAAAAGGTTATTAAAAGTCTAATCATAGTAGATACATTACTATTATTTTCATGCTATGCTAGTTATCTCTGCAACCAGTTTGCAAACCCATTAAGGGTTGTGTGTCTTTGTACACCCACTATGTGCTAAGCGTCCAACAAACTTAATGGTCTTCTTGGTTTTTGTCTTTCTTTTTAACATATATGTAATAATAATGTACTGTCATTGTCCTAGCTGAGTTACAAATGCTTTTCTTCCAGGTTAGATTGCCATGTAGCCTACTTGCTTTAGTCTATTACAGTTTATGCCCAACCTGGAACAAAGAATATTAACAATGCTAACTATAGTTTCAGACACACATCTTGGAAAAAAAGCCACTGGTATTTAAAAAACAACAATTAAAAACATGCATTGAGACAATGAGAAGCAGACAGTTTTTGCACATTAGTATTTGTTTATGTTGTTATAAAAGGATTCTATTCATACACTGTTTTTGAAATTGCTTCTCTGGGTATGTACCCTTGGGATTGCCAGGTTAGAAGGATTAAATCAATTTTAAAGATAGAGCTATGGGAAAGTTGGGGTAAGCTGCCTCTGTTTATGGACTGCTCGTTTCTATGTTAGGATCTCTCCTTTTTCTGAACAATTGAGCGTGGGCCTTACTTCTACCAAGTCTTCTGTATTTACTAACCATCCCATCATGCTTATGGTGATAAGATATAAGAGAACACTGAAAATGCCCTTTGATCCCAAATCCAGATAAACTTTTATAGTTATATCTGTTTTGTCTTAAATCTACTTATCTCCTGTGAAATTAAACCAGTCATCCAAATAGCCACAATGTTCACCCTCCAGTATTTGTGATAAAATCTGCACTTTCTTCCATCAATAGATAGGGTCTGTTTCCTGGGTTGCCTTTGTAACTTGTTTTGACCAACAGAATGAGAAGGAATTAATAAGTAACTAGTTTTTAGCCTAGTACTTAAGAGGCCTTGTGTACTTTCACTATCTCAGAACCCTGCCTAGCCTCCATGAGACAAGTTCAAGATGAGAGGATGGGGCCCAGCTGGTGTGGCTCAGTGGTTGAGCACTGACCCAGGAACCAAGAGGACACCAGTTTGATTCCTGGTCAGGGCACATGTCAGGGTTGTGGCCTCAATCCCCAGTGTGGGGCATGCAGAAGGCAGCCAATCTCTGATGTTTCTCTATCATTAATGTTTCTATTTCTCTATCCCTATCCCTTCCTTTCTCTCTAAAAATCAATGAACACATCTTTAAAAAAAAAAAAAATGAGAAGATGGAAGGTATATGGCCCATTTGCCTCCCAATCAATATTCAGTCAACACCCACAACCAGAGCCTCCTGGCTGACTACTGGTTGACATATGAGTGAGTTTAGTCAAGATAAGTCAAGCCTGGCCCAGATACGCCCACCACTCAGATGACCCATAGACTGGTGAGTAATAATAAACACTTGCTGATTTACATCAATGGGCTTCAAGATGTGTTGCACTGCATTATTTGCAGTAATAACTCATTGCTCAATATTTATTTATTAGTTCATTCATTTCCACCTTCATGTAGAATAGTTTGCCAGGTCATTTTATGAGAAGATATTTTGTTAGGAGTGGAGAGAGAGTATGAGAATGTTGAATGCAGATTGCTATGAGCAGTAAAAGGAGAAGCCTAGAGTATTTATTCAGAGTTAAGCATAAGTCATGTTGGGTGTAACAAGAGTACATCTCCCCTTGTTGCCTTGCCTTCTCCCCTCGGTCCAGGCTGAAAGGCTACAGCTGACCCAGGTCTCAGTGGGTGCCTACAGAGGCCTGGATAAGAATCAAGTACAGACATAAATCCTATGGTACCTGACTGTCTCCTTCAGGTCCTTTCCATACAAGTTGTACTTGGCAGCCAGGTAGCTGAGGATGGCTCTGGTCTGCGTCAGCATCATCCCATCAATTTCAACCAGAGGCATTTGGCCAAAGAGCAGGCGCCCATCTGTGGTTTGAGCAAAGAAAGATTAAGATACTCCCCTTCCATGGCTGTTGTAAGCCTGCAAAAGTGTCCACTTTTAATTTTGTTGAATAATTTTTAGTTTTTATCCAAAGTGGTAAGTTAAAGACCCCAGTTGTTGAGGAAATGACTACCATTTGCTTAACGGAAAATTTGAGATTTGCTTGATGGTTCATGCATTTTTGTGTGTTGGTTAGTCGTGATTATTTAGGATTTTCTTTTTTTTTTTTTTTTAAAGATTTTTTTTATTGGTTTCAGAAAGGAAGGGAGGAGAGAGAGATAGAAATATCAATGATGAGCCCTAACTGGTTTGGCTCAGTGGATAGAGCGTCGGCCTGTGGACTGAAGGGTCCCGGGTTAGATTCCGGTCAAGGGCATGTACCTTGGTTGTGGGCACATCTCCAGTGGGGGGTGTACAGGAGGCAGCTGATCGATGTGTGTCTCTCATCCATGTTTCTAACTCTCTATCCCTCTCCCTTCCTCTCTGTAAAAAATCAATAAAATATATTTTTAAAAAAGAAATATCAATGATGAGAATCATTCATCAGCTACCTCTTGCACACTGCACAAGGGGGATTGAGCCCACAACCCAGGCATGTGCTCTGACTGAGAATTGAACTGTGATCTCATAGGTTGATGCTCAACTACTGAACCATGCCAGCCGGGCTATTTAGGACCCTCTCCATTTACTATGACTGATTCTCAAAGTTGAGTGTACAAGAATCGCCTGGAGGAGTTGGGTTGTAAAAATATTCACCCACTTCCCAGATGTTCTCATTCAAGGGTGGAGTCTGGGAGTCTGAATTCTTTAAAAAGTACATGGGGTAGCACTCTAGGTCCATACAACATCAGATAATGTGATACTAAGAACCCTGACATACCCAGGTCCTAATGCCAGCTTCAGCCCTTTTCAGCCATGATTTACTTAGAGCTTCAGCTCCCTTTTCTCTAAAATAGTAATAATACCTATCCAGCAGGATTTTTGAAAAGATGAAATGAGATAACATTAGTAAAATACAAAATACTGTCAATAGTAGATGTTTAGTAAAATCAAATTTTCTTCTTTGTGAATGACTGCCTATATAATAATGTGTTTTAAAAAGATACTGCAGTCCTAGCCTGTTTGGCTCAGTGGATAAAGCGTCAGCCCTCGGACTGAAGGGTCCTAGGTTCAATTCTGGTCAAGGGCATGTACCTTGGTTGCAGGCTTAATCCCGGCCCTGGTTGGAGTGCATGTGGGAAGCAAACAATTGATGTGTCTCTCTCACATCAATGTTTCTCTCTCAGTCTCTCCCCTTCCTTTCCACCCTCTCTAAAAATCAGTGGAAAAATATCTTCGGGTGAGGATTAACCAAAAATAAATAAATAAATAAATACATAAAAAAATAAATACTACAAACAGTGCTCTTTTCATGGGGTCTGGAAGAATTGACTAGCCTTTATTTTTCATTTACACCTCTACATTGCTGAGATTAAGGAACTTGACTCAGAATAAAAGCCAGACTTCACTAGTGCATTGGCAAAGGCCACAGTTAATTTCCCCAATTTCACTACCTTTCCTGCTGTACTTGGTGAGAGGCAGTAGAGGATGGTGGGGAGAACACCAGTGCAGAAACCAGGAACAGCTTTCAGGGAGCCAGTGTCCCTATCTAGATGACGACGTTAGGCAAGTCTCTAACTTCTCTGAGCTTATTCTCTGATCTGTAACACTATCTGTCCTGTCTTACTGAGTTTCTTTGCGTAGGAATAAGATCATACAAGTAACCATGCTTTGTAAATATGAATACTGCTATTGAAACATCAATTTCCTAAAAGTTCTACATTTGTTCAATATTGGAGGAGTATCTAAAACTGGGCTCTACTGCTTATGATGCAAATATCCGTTAGAACCAGGAGCTGATGATCGTCTTCTGACGAATTCAAAAAATCTAAGAATCAGGAGCACAGAAAAGGATGTTTGAGATCATTTAGTTCAAAGCATTCATAAAACCACCAAGAACAAGTGGATATGAACAATGAGAACTAGAGAATATCTTAGGTCACATTTCCCTTCCTTTTTTCTCCTTCCCCTTCAGACCACTGGATCATTATTTAAGAATTCTTAAAGGATTCTTCAGTGAGATGGGGAGTTTTGAACCAATTGGCACTGGTCACCCATGTTCATGCATCTTCAATTGAGGTGTGGGGTTGTAACCTACTTGATAAGCTTTTATGAAGGCTAAAGAGACTATGCAGATGACAAATTTAGCTTCGTGACAGGGACACAGTGAATAGGCAATCCATGTTAGCAGTCATACTGTGTGCCTTTTTTGATGGTTGACATTCTAGAGTTCTGTGTTTTATAATGAAATGAGTATTTCCAGAAACACATTTCTATTTTTTTCCAATAAGATGAGATTGAACAAATCTAGGCTTACCCTTCTGCAACTTCTCATATTGCTCTCTTGTTTCAAGAAATTCTTCTTCAAACTGGATAAAGGACAGAGACATTGTTATAACTTTAATAAGGTGCTGAGAGACAGAGATGTGAGGGAGGGGGAGAGAGAGAGAGAGAGAGAGAGAGAGAGAGAGAGAGAGAGAGAGAGAGAGGAGATGCTCTTGGTATAAAATGCCCAATGGCTTCAAGAAAGGAAAAATTTAAAAGGAACACAAAGCCATCAACTACCACACAGCTGAACAATTCTGACAGTGTGTGTGTGTAGATTAGCTTAGAGTCCCTTGGGATTGGAACCCCTTTTGGCTCCTGGCCTACTTAAAGTATACCCCACACCCCCATTCATATTTTTCCTTTTCTTTGCCTTAGCTCTTTCTTCTCTCCAAACGCTTGTCTTTTTCTCCAACTTCCCCAATGATCTCTCCTCTTCTGTTCTTTCTTTTCTTTCTCCTCTCCTTTCTGTGTTATTTTCCTTCTAATCAAATTTCTCTTTGATGCTCATATACTCAATGAAAGGGGTCGAAAGATCATTACTCAGGTGAGGTTAACATCACTTATCGGTGGAGTTTCTAAAGCTTTGGTGACGAAGAGTGACTTTTGTCCCTCAAACCTCGAGATGGGGGTAGGATGAGGTGAGCAATGTTAGGAGAGAATTCTCTAAAGGGAAAAGAGAAAAACCAGGATCACCAGCCTTTGTTCCAGAGGAGATGACATTGAAGTAGAGAAAAGGAAGTCTATACCTGCATGAAACCAAACAATAACACTTGTGAAAATCTATGAAAAGTCAGCGGAGAGGGAACTCAGAGTTAAAAAAGATCCCAGTGGGGCAGGCTCTTCAGAGGATGATTCAAGGGGAGACCAGATTGCAGTGGGCCTAGGATTCCAGTCGGCAGCCCTGGGTAGCACGTGACTAAGATGCTACGGCAGAGCTAGAGAGACCCCAGGAAATCAGCTGGGCCAGATGAAAGAAATGATCCCTAGGTGGTTTCCTTACTCTCCTTTATCTTATGACCCACCAAGATCTTTCCAGCCCCTACAAAGCTCCCAGAACACCTTCCTTGGCTTCTGCCCTCCCACCCCTACTTAAACCAAGGACCATGATCCCCTCTGCATCTCTTACAAAGGAAGACAGCTGGAAAGAGAAAGAGCCAGTGTGGCTGGGAGGCACCATCCTGAATTTCGAAGAGGGAAGCAGCTCACTTCAATCTCACCCCAACTGCCCTCCTTCCTTTTCCCAGTCAGGAACCAACCTCCACGCCAGCTGCAGCCAGCAGCCAGCGGATCGACTCCATCCTGCCCCGGCCAGGAAAGTACAAGAGCTTAGGCTTGGCTGCCATGACGCCCGGCGCAGGGTTTCCTAAAGGGCCAAATAAGATGTTTAATGAGCAAACGAACGCACACCATATGGAGTGTATCTGTTTGTAACAATTCCAAGACAGGCAAATGAAGCGGTTGTCCAGGGATGCATACTGGTACATAGTAGGTAAAACTATGAAGAAAAGTCAGAAAATAATGACCCCAGCAGCAGGATGGTGGTCACCTCTAGTGGGAGAATGCAGGTTATGATTGGAGGAGCTTGAGGCAATCCTGGGATGCTAATAATGTTCTATTTCTTAAAACAGAATTAGTAATTAGCCTTTATAATTTATCTTTAAACTGCATATAGTCCTAACCAGTTTGGCTCAGTGGATAGAGCGTCAGCCTGTAGACCGAAGGGTGCTAGGTTCAATTCCAGTCAAAGGCGCATGCCTGGGTTTCGGGCTCAATCCCCAGTGGGAGGCGTGCAGGAGGCAGCCAATCAGTGATTCTCTCTCATCATTGATGTTTCTATCTCTCTCTCACTCTCCCTTCCTCTCTAAAATCAATACAAATATTTTAAAAAATAAAAAAGTAAACTGCACATAAATGTTTTTGCAATCTCCTATATGCAGGTATGCGCTATCTTACAATTTAAGGAAAAAGAACAGATTATACATATCACGGTTTTCTGTAGATTTGAGAGACTGCCTCTGGTATTTTGAGAAAAGGAACCAGGAGTTAATATGACGGTTTCATTAATGATCTTACAAAATATAATCTTTCCTAACAGCGGCAAGGGGCTGGGCTTGTTTGGATTAAAATGTTCGGTGGGACTTGGGGACTCTCATTTCTGCCAAAGACTTTCCTGAGTCTGGGACAAGCATAGACACAGACCTACACAGGAAGGGCTGTTCCTTCTAGAAGGGCTGAGCACCGAGAAGGGGCCCAATACCTCTTATGAGCTCCCACCCCAAGAACCAGCTGAACTCTTCACTGCAAAATTCTCACGAGGGAAACATCTGGAAGGCAGGGGTGACGGTGTAGTTCTTCCATCTCTTATAGAACCAGCCCAGACATGTGGCAGCTGTCACCTCAATGTGCCACTGTGAGATACATACCAGTTCCTGAATGTGTTAAATTTCTGTGTTCCATCTTTCATTGTCTCAGCATCAAACATTTAGTGAACTCCTACTATGGATATAGTACTAGGTTAGGCACTCCAGGCATACAAACATAAATAACATGTAGTTCCTGCCATCAAAAACCTTACCTTGCCCTGACCGGTTTGGCTCAGTGGATGGAGCGTCGGCCTATGGACTGAAGGGTCCCGGGTTCGATTCCGGTCAAGGGCATGTACCTTGGTTGCAGGCACATCCCCAGTGGGGGGTGTGTAGGAGGCAGCTGATGGATGTTTCTGACTCTCTATCCCTCTCCCTTCCTCTCTGTAAAAATCAATAAAAAACGTAAAAACAAAAAACAAACAAAAAAAAACCTTACCTATATCTAGTGATGGAAACATCCAGACTAATGAGAGGTAAGTCAGAAGGAAATAGGTGTTTAACGAAAGCACGAGGAAATCTGTTTTACTTACTCACAACTGTAAAAGTACTTTTGCCCCTCCCTGTCAATATGTTGTTTCTCAGCCCTACTGCTCCCTGCCCCATGGCACTATAGGTTAAGGACAAAACCAAGTCCTTCAGTCCTCTATCCTTGACCTCTAATGAATGTCAACAAAGATTAGGGTAAATTACAGCTTGGTAATACGGATGACGGGTTTGTTTACCCTTCAAATAGAAAACCCAATTATTCTCATTGTTAAAAAAGAAAAAAAGTACATCATCAAAGCTTAAAAGAACAGGTGCAATGGAAGCTTTCATTCAGGCCAGCCGTGGGACCGGCCAGCCGTGGGAAATGAAGAGGTAGGGAACAAAGGAGCAGCGCTTTCTGGATTTTACCCAAGATGCAAGCACTCTGAGCAAAAGCTGCTGGAAGACCCGGAACCCAAGGCATTGAGCTGAGTATAAATCCATTCCCATCTCTTCAAAGCTCATGATTGTGCTACTGATGTTGACCAAAAGGTGTGCCCCGAACTCAGCAAACCTGGAAGGCTTCCCACAGAGGTCGGATGACATTGGGAACTGAGGCTCACCTGCAAGGCTCACAGACTTCACCTGTGTGCACCTTCACCTGCGATGAGAGTGGGGTGCGTTTCCCCACCCAGAGTCCCAGGGACCCACGCCTCAGGAGGGTCAGCAGAAAGCAGCCACTATGACATGACAACCTTTGGAGAGTCTGAGTGTGGTCCTTGGATAATAAATATGCCTCCAATTTTTTAGAAAATAGAACATGTATCTATTTTACTGTGAGTGTTGGGTACCCACAGTAAAAACATATTTCAGCTCTACCTCTTACTGGAGCAAGGTTTTTAACCTCTTTGAGCCTCAGTTTCCTCATTTGTACAGCAAAGCTAATAGCTCCTAATTCATTTGATTAGTTATGAGGTGAACATCAGATAATGTGTACAAACTGCTGAACATAGTAAGGACTCAATAAATGGTACACACACACACACACACACACACACACACACCTGTATCTCCACACCGCAGCGGCATTCAGGTGTGCTTCCAAAAGGAGGGGCGGCATTCTCTGCTGGTGTGTTGGACCAGCAACACCAGCTTCGCCCGGAAGCGTGTTAGAAATGCAGAAGCACAGTCCCTGGGCCCAATCTGTGACTCAGAGTCTGCATTTTTCAAAACATGCCCGGGCGATTCACTTGTATATTTAAATAAAGTTCGAGAAGCTGAGTCTAGAACAGGGGTGGGCAAACTTTTGACTCGAGGGCCACAATGGGTTCTTAAACTGGACCAGAGGGCCGGAACAAAAGCATGGATGGAGTGTTTGTGTGAACTAATATAAATTCAAAGTAAACATCATTACATAAAAGAGTACGGTCTTTTTTTTTTTTTTTTTAGTTTTACTCATTTCAAACGGGCCGGATCTGGCCCACGGGCTGTAGTTTGCCCACGGCTGGTCTAGAATGAAAACCCAACTAACCTGCACCTGGGGCTCAGTGTGAGGCTCTGGGTCATTCTTCCCAGAAACTGCTGGGCAGGCACAATTGCAGAGCATGGCGTTTAAAAGGTAGGCAGAGCAAAGGGTGATGTGCTGGAATTATGGGTGGCTCAGAATAGAGAGAGAGAAGGGCAGAGGGAACTGGGGAGAATTGTAAGTAAATTTCCCATGTGAGATCATTTGTATTGATCCCTCTCAATGAGAGGAATTCCACCCGGCCAGTGTGGCTCAGTGGTTGAGCATGGGACTATGAACCAGGAGGTCACGATCCGATTCCCAGCCAGGGCACATGCCTGGATTGTGGGCTCAAACCCCAGTAGGGGTCACGCAGAAGGCAGCTGATCAATGATTCTCTCTCATCATTGATGTTTCTATCTCTCTCTCCCCTTCCTTTCCTCTCTGGAATCAATATACATATACTAGAGGCCTGGTGCACGGGATTTGTGCACTGGTGGGGGGCATGGCCTGCTGGGATCAGCCCACTGTGAGAGCTCTGCTCATCCTGGTCAGTAGAGTGGTGCTCCCACTGTGGGAGTGCACTGACCACCAGGGGGAAGCTCCTGCACTGAGCGTCTATCCCTTGGTGGTCAGTGCACGAAATAGCAACTGGTCGACCTGTCATTCTGCTGTTCGGTCGCTGGGCTTTTATTATATAGCATATTTTTAAGAGAGGAATTCCTAGGATATGAGCGAGGCCTTCTTCAATTCCCAATGTTAACAAAGTACCAGATATGTAGGTTCCAGCCCTGGGCATGTCTGGAAGAAATGTCAGTCCTCAGCTATACAATGAAGAGTTGGTCAGAATTAGATAATTTCCTCCGTTTCTTCCAGTTTTAACAATCCTTCTGATATTGCTTCTCTTCCCTCATCTTCATTCTTTGCCCTATGCTCCTATCTGCTGAATGCATGTGTCGGGAAAGCAGCCAATTTTGGGGGGTGAAATTCTAGTGAACTGCAAATGTTTAACAGTCACTCTCGATGATTTAGGCAAAACAACACACATTTTTCTCACTTATTTGAACAGGTAGGCAAAAAGCAGGCTTTTATTGACTTTTCTGGATCATAAAAAATGTAAGGGGTTCATTGAAAAGGTTTCCAGTTTTAGCAAATGTTTTGGGTCAGAATACAAGATGTCAATTCTAAATCTGTTATCCATAGAAATAGCCTTGACATTTACTCTGGCTTCTCCAATGGATCAGAACGGCCTATCTGCATTATGACCAGCAGATAAAAATTTGTCACGGAGACAGAAAACTCTCCCATGTAACCCTGTATTCCCCACAGAACTGTACTTTGCTAGTTTGGAAAGAAGTAGCTCGTTTTAGCTTTAAGTATATACTGCTTCAGAGCACAACCAAGACTTTCAGTATAGCTTTAAAGTTTGTCTGTTTTTACTCGATTATGAATTATTTCTCTTCTATTCTGCTAATATATAACAATAGCAAAGCATGTCATTAGTTAGATATGACATATTCAGTATTTGGATTTTATCAAAGGAAAAGTCTCCTACATGAGACTTTGAAAAAGAGCTCAAGTATTTATACAGAATTTTTAATACACAAACCCAGCTGAACAATATTCCTAGGTGGAAAGGGGGTGGATTGCTGATGGAATAGGACGATCAGGAGGGAGCTCTGGGCCAAACTCACATGTTAATAAGCATCTTCTCCAGAGAGCTTTGTATTTCAGTTTCAGAACCTTAAGTTTCCTTTCCATGAGGGTATCTAATGGGTTGATTCACATTCGCAAAACTCACAAGAGGTTGGCTTATACCCCCAAGACTTAGAAACTTACTTATAGGAAAGATACAGCCAAGAAAGAGACTTTCATTTACCTAGGTCACCAAGGCTGCTTAGAGAATAAGCCAGGTGAACTGCCACATGGCCCGAAGCTGTTTAAAGTCTTAGAAAAAAATAATGTTATCAGGGCTTGACTCAGAGACTCCTGCTTTTCAACTTGCAGTTCCCCAGGCATGCAGGACCCCAGAGGAAGACCCCAGTGGCAGATTATTCGGAAGAAATCTTCCAAGCATAGTGGAGTAGACACCTAGAGGCAGGAGACTTAGTTTACCCGTTAGCACCCTGCACAGAGCAGGTGACATCTCTGTTTTTTCAACTATGTAAAAAATATGAGATTTGCCTAAGAGGGAAAAACGTAACGGCTCAAATAGTAATACATGTTTATGTTCTGCTAAGTCTGTTATGTCCACCAATCAACTGAAGCACCACCGTCCTCTCACATGCCATGTGTGACATGGATGTGGGGGAATGTTCATGTCTGGTGCCATGTGATCAGGTATAGGCAGTGAAAGTCTTCAAAAGGCCCAGCTGTAACTTGCCATACCGTGTTCATTTACGTATCTACTCTGCAGGGAAAAAAATATCTGTTCCTTTCATTTGATATAGGCAAGTTTAGAAATATAGGCATTAAATTAACCACAAAATTAAAACAATTGTTGACTATAAGCTGCATATTTGGCCACAAAATGTAACTATCCAACCAAGCCCAAGAAGAGTATAAAAATTTAACCACTAACCTTATCGCTTCCTGGCTCTTGTCTCTGGTGTGGTGGGGGAAGAAGTGAAGGTTTATAACCCTTATCTGTCCAGTTGCAAGCTCCGCCCACTCAAGGGATTAGCCAGTGAGTATTCCAGTTTGCACACGCCCCCGGGGCTTCACTTTACATCCATTGTCAGTGTATCTGATAGCACACCAAGTTACCCAAGGAAGAAGAAAGGAAGACTCCACTGGCTCACTCAACACTGAGACCCTGTTTTGGCCCTGACTCTAGAATGGTGGCCAAGACAGGCCCAATTCCTACACCTGTGGTGTTTCCATTCTAGTTGGGGAAGACGGACAGTATAAATATATAGACAAATAAATGCAGTGTGTTCAAATAATAACAGCAACAATATATCAGATGATTACAGCTTATGGGTAAGTGAAATCTATGACAGCAATGTTATAAGGGACAGGAGGGAGGAACTGGGAAAACTGTGTTATAAGGTACCTGTACTACCATTTGAAAGTGGCCTTAGTGTAGCTTAAATATATATGGCAAACTCTAGGGCAACAAATTAAACTTAAAAAAAAAAAAGAGAGAGAGAGATAGCCCTAGCTGGTTTGGCTCAGTGGATAGAGTGTTGGCCCAGGTTTGATTCTGGTCAAGGGCACATGCCCAGGTTGCAGGTTCAATCCCCGGTAGGGCGTGTGCATTAATGTTTCTATCTCCCTCTCCCTCCCTCTCTGAAATCAAGAAAAATATATTTTTTTAAAAAATGAGGTATAATTGACATGCAGAGAAAAAATAGAACCATATAAATGCTCAATTAAAAACAAAGAATGCAGAAAAAAAGGGGAAGACAAAAGAAAAAAAAAACAACAAAGAACAAGGGAAACAAATAGAAAACAGTTACACACATGGTACAGATTAATTCAGCCACAGCAATAAGGATTTTAAATGTGGCCTTAAATACATCAATTAAAGCACAGAGACTACGGGTGGACTGAAACAAGACCCAATTATAATTTCTACAACAAACCCACTTTAAGTATAAAGACAGAGACTGATTAAACAGATAAAATGCCAGAGGATGTCAAGTGCTCTGAAGAAAACAAATTGAGGAGAAAGAGGCACCTGGGTTTTCAGTCCCTCCTGGTCTGAGGGACTCCCTTAGGGGGGGACATGTGTGCTACTAGGACAAGAACGAACCCGCCCTCACTCTCCTGGGCACATTCGATGAAGAGGGAACACCAGCAAATACAAGAGCCCACACTGGTGGTTGTTTGTAGCAGACCCTGCCCAGAGGAACTCACTTTCTGCTCTGTGGGGTTCCCCAGGAGGCTGGCTCCTACCCACAGCCCCAGCCAGGCAGCAGGAGGAGATCAGGTGTTCCTCGCGGCACCCAGTCTGCCAAAGCCTCTCTGAGTGGCTAATGCTGGGTCCCAGGCTCCTTACCCGTTGCACCTCCTCCTCTGTCACAGACACCAGAGCCTCACACCATCAGTTTTCCCCTTTTGTCCCAGACACCAGGCCTCTGTACCTGCTCTCTACATGGCTGTGCCCTTTAATCTCCCTGGTTCACCTGACCTGAGGGTGGGAGAGGGGGGAACTTATTGCCAAAATGGCAACCGAATTGCACAATTTAAGGTCATGTAACCATGAGCAGGAAAGACATGGGAATCTGTCCTCATCGGAAACAGCCGGGCCTCCTGTGTTTACTTTCTGTAATCCTCTAATTCAGTGCAGAAGCCAAACTTCCTCCTGGCTGTTTCCTCAGAGAGCCGGCATTGAGGGCCCCCTGGTGGCTACGAGAATTAAAATCCAAAGAGCAATGTTTACAAAATGGCCTAAGGTCTATACAGCAAACCCTTGATTTATATTGTCAGGCAGTGGCACTGGAGAGTAACATCACATCGAAATGGTATACAATAGTCCAAATTTGCTGCCATCCTACACAATTCCATAATACAGACCTCTGGGTGCTATGATGTCCATGTCCGGCTCCAGGGTGTAAATTAGTCTTCAAATGAGTGTAAAAGTTTCTCTTCCCGGAAGAGGTTAGAAGGAGCAGGCCAAAAGCCCACCCTCACTCTGACACCAACTGCAAGTTCAAGGGGGTGCCCCAAAAAACACCCTGAGGTTCGTCAAGCCGCTCAAAGAACTCACAGAACTCACGGAAAGCTGTTATACTCACGGCTACGGTTTATTACAGAGAGAGGATACAGACGGAAACCAGCCAGGGGAAGAGACACACGGGACGGGGTCCAGGGGGGTCCAAACTTGAGCTTCCAGACGTCCTCTCTGTGGAGCCGTGGACGCATGAACTCCTCCTGGCAACCATGTGGGACATGGAGTATTGTCAACCAGTAAGCCCACCCAAGTTTTGAGTCCCGAATTTTTATTGGGGCTCCATCACATGGGCATAATTGACTGCCCATGTGGTTGATCCGACTCTAGCTCCCCCATAGTTGAGCTGACACCACAAGACCCCAAACCCCCACCCTCCATGGCATTATTGCTGTGGCTCAAATCACAGTTAGTTACTATCTGGCTGGCGTAAGGCAGCCAGGCAAACAAAGACACTATCAGGCATGACATTCCAAGGGCTTAGAGGTCACCTCCCAGAGGCAGAGGTCAGACCTGTGTTTGGTCAGGCCTTTGGGAAGGGTGAGTCTTTTCCGTACATACTCCCTCGCTTTCTTCTTTTCCTTGGCTCTTGCTCTCGGGATCCCAGCCGGAGCCTGGGTGTCTCTCTCTGTTCCTGGGGCCTGGTCCAATGCTACACGTGTCATCAAGCCCTTGCTCATCCAGAAATTCTAAATATTAGTGTGGCAACAGAGTGCTCACACTGTGAAAGCGCGAACACAAACAACTACTTGGTGTCTACATTTGATTTTCCTCCAATAAAACACCAAGGCCCTTGCTATGAGTGTGATAGGCATTAATGATTACCTCATGGCTATATATATATTTTTTTAATCCGAGCAAAAACCCCTCCTGCAGTAAGGGATGAATGTGTCCCTGCTATAAACCCTCATAAAAAATGTGCTTTTCCTTAGTTTTTAAATTTCTGAGTATTAGATAGTCCAGAACCAGAATTTCTGCCTTTCCCCAAATTACTTCTGCTGTTTACACATTGATCTCCCCAACTGTGTGGTACATCTTCCTAAAGCAGGGACTCTGTTCTAGGGTTCTGCCTCCTGGAACCCTGCTTGGCACATAATAGGTGCTCAATTAATATAAAAACAACACATGCGTAAAGCAGCATGAATAAACTATCCTGTTAGTCTGAAATGCAAAAAAGTTCAAGCCTACAAATGAACATTTGAGTAATACGACAAATGTGACATCCATTTATATTTTCTAACACAGATATAAAATATAACTGGAAAGATATATAAATGATACCTATGTTTGCCTGTAGGGAGAACCAGGTAGCTGGGGGCAAGGCTGAAAAGAATACTTCCAACTGTATGGCCTTTTATACCTTTTTGAAGCATGTAATTGTAGATTCCAAATAATTTAATTTAAAAATTCTAGCAAGAGGACAATGATTTGTAAATTCTTTATTTTGGCTAATATCAACTGCACTCATCACTACTATGGATTTATAATAGCTCAGAGAGAGATACTCACTACATATTCTGTTGTTATTAAACACTAAAAATTGAGAAGAGACCAGATGGGGTTTAGAATGGGGTAAGGAGAAGTGAAAAGAAGCTCCGGGAAGAACTTGAGCTCCTGCCCTACTCTGTTATCAGGAAATGAGTTCAGATCAAATCTAACATAAGTGTCAGCCTCTCCACAAAGGTTTTCAGAAAAAGGACCCCTAACAATTATCCAATGGACACAAACATGTCCATGTTTCTACAAGAGATCTCCTTGACATGAAAGACCCAACTTAGGAACAATTATACAGAGCACCACGACAGAGCGGGGATCAGGCAGCCTGGCATCAACTAAGATACTAGTGTGGACACAGCCATCTCTAGGGGCGAGTTCTCACTCACAAACATCGGTGTTGATTTACGGCATAAAGACGTTGTAGACGGTTCTCACGTAGATCTCATCAGGAGGTGGCTTCTTCTTGCTGCCAGGTTCAAGGAATTTCCTAATTGTGGGGACATTACTTACTTTCACAGAGTACTCCTGAAAACAGAAAACACAGAAGTTCAAGGTTGACCACAAAGGTATGAGTCACTATGAAAATATGGTTGTTCAAAATGGCCATATATCAAAGTTTGTTCAGAAAGGATTTACTACAGGGATCCAACCAGAACTGTAACCCAGCATCTGTTTAGGGTCTGATCTCCTGGTATGATTATTTATACTCTCTGCCAACAGTGGCTGGTATCTGGACCAGGTTTTATGCAAATCTCACGGTTCACACCAAAATGTGAATTTTTTTCACAGGTAGCAATATTAAAAAGATACGTAGAAGAGGATTATGATACTTGCTTAAACAGAAAAAGAAAAAGGGAAAAGAAAAAAGACTTGGGAAGTACCTTAAAAATATTGATCTGGCCCTAACTGGTTTGGCTTAGTGGATAGAGCATTGGCCTGTGGACTGAAAGGTCCCAGGTTCGATTCCGGTCAAGGGCATGTACCTTGGTTGCGGGCACATCCCCAGTAGGAGGTGTGTAGGAGGCAGCTGATAAATGTTTCTCTCTCAATGATATTTCTAACTCTTTATCCCTCTCCCTTCCTCTCTGTAAAAAAAAAAATATATATATATATATATATATTGATCTGCCCAGAGAAAATGCATGAGTCATTTAAATAAAAGTGTTTTTAAAAAGTCATCAGATGGTACAATTTAGATTTTAAGATTCAGCTTTCTTGGACTTTTTCACTTCTAATAGCTAATGAATCCTCTCTCGGGCTATGTGCGAGAGATGGCCAGTTGTATTTTTTGTAGCCTAGGGCTCAGATACCAGATATTTATGTAAACTGGAATGGAAGAAATAAAACATTTTTTTCATTCATAGAGTTAAATCTTACCAATTATCAGTAACTGAGAAAAAAGTCTATTTGAGCCTGGCCTGTGTGGCTCAGTGGTTGAGCTTTGACCTGTGAACTAGGAGGTCACTATTCGATTCCTGCTCAGGGTACATGCCAGGGTTGTGGGCTGGATCCCCAGCAGGGGAGAGCGGGAGGCAGCCTATTGATGATTCTCTCTCATCACTGATGTTTCTATCTCTCTCCCTCTCCCTTCCTCTCTCTGAAATTAATAAAAACATTTTTGTTTAAAAAGTCTATTTGATCCAGTAAAAATTTTTAACTATATGTAGAAGTGTATATCCATTATATATAATTATTCTAATAAAATCTTTCAAAGTAAAGAGGTCATTTACTTAAAAAGCTAGGATTTATTAAATGTTGATTGTAGACAAAGCACGGCCTTCATTAAGTATGCACACACACACAAGCATACATGTTACTAATATTAAAAAAGCTATTCCAATCATGTCAACGCTATGTGAATATGACAATCTTCTTTTTATTACTTATTTGAAATGTTTGTACTACCTAATTTTGAATATTATACCAATATTGAAAAGCTTGTTCCCTAGGATTTATCATTTAAAGATTTATGTGGGGTTTATACTTATTATGTATAATAAAATTGTAGTGACTCTTGACTTTTTAAAACTCTTTAATTAATGTAGGAATTACATTAAACTCAGATCTGGTGTTAGATTCTGAAGTCCTTTAATATGGATGCTTCAATTAAAAAAAATTTTAAAAAATTTATTTTTTAATGAATCCTCTCTCGGGCTATGTGCGAGAGATGGCCAGTTGTATTTTTTTGTAGCCTAGGGCTCAGATACCAGATATTTATGTAAACTGGAATGGAAGAAATAAAACATTTTTTTCATTCATAGAGTTAAATCTTACCAATTAAACTCAGATCTGGTGTTAGATTCTGAAGTCCTTTAATATGGATGCTTGATCTGATCAGAGATTAAAACTGTATTTACACACAAGTGCCTGGGGCTTAAACACATGTCACTAGCATTATGGATGGAAAACACCAGTAGGCCCCTAGGCTACTTCAAGGACCTATTGGTATTCAAGTCAAATTAAACAATGTTCATCTCTGTGCCTTCAAGAAGGAATGCACATATGGTTAAACTATAGAATGGCTATTTGCCTTGTTAAATATTTTTTTTCTTATTTTCTGGATGTATGCATTAAATGGATGATTGTTGTCCTGATTAGAATATCAGAATGATACCTACTGGATTTGGAATTATTATTTTTTAAAATATGTTTTTATTGATTTCAGAGAGGAAGGGAGAGGGAGAGAGAGATAGAAACATCAATGAGAAAGAATCATTGATCAGTTGCCTCCTGCACACCCCCTACTGTGGATCAAACCTGCATCCTAGGCAAGTGTCCTGACTGGGAATTGAACCACCTGGTTTATAGGTCGATGCTCAACCACTGAGCCACATTTGCTGGGTAGAAAATGATTTTTTTAAAGTATGTGTGTTACTCTTTGGAGATGAAGTGTGTGTCTTTCCTGGCCTTTGACAACTTGGCCAAAGATGTGTCAAAGTGGTCTATATCAGGGTTGA